TTGGTAGAAGTTTACTTGAATCTTCCCATTGTCGTTTTAGGACTGCAAGTGATCAATCTCTTATTGACATATCTGAATCTTGTGCGGATTGCCTCGATATTTGCTTTAATTTTAAAAGCATTATAGGGAAAGATGGATAGTGGCGGGTACATCCAGCTGATAAGGCGAAACATGCATCCTGGATTCCACTACTAGCCACCATACATCTCTATTCATAATACTTTTCAATTTAGGTAATATAGAGGCAATATTCATTGCATGCACATATGTCAATAACAGACTGATCTATTGCAGTCCTAAACATCAATAGGAAAATTTAAGTAAACAAAACCAAGTGAATTTAGACTTCACTCCATTGTACAAACAAGTGGCCATTAAGACTCAGTAGCTAAATGAATAACGCGATGGAATTTAAAGTGGACGATACTGTGTTTAAGTCACGGAGTAAAAATCAACTCTTAGATGCAGGTACATCCAGCTGATGAATCCCAACAAAGACGAAATGCGCGTCCTAGGTTTCATTACTATCCACTATCCATCTTTGATTATAACTGAGATAGAGTTATGATTGAGAGATAGAAAAACCATATAAATTATGGTGATGTTACTTAAAGGTTTAATTTTGTTTACTTGATTCCTAGTGCTTGGTGTGAATCCACTTTGAAATTTATGAAGGATAAATTTATTAGAAGGTATTTAAAGGTGACGTTAATGTTTAACTCTTGAAGTGTAATTATCGAATGGATTAATGTTGAATTGGAATGCATGATGACAGGTGAGAATTAGATTTCAATAACACGATTTTTAAACGTCAACAGTCTACATTGATATATAATGATGGGTAAAGGATAAATAGGCTGATACAAAAGGATAAAGGCCGTTGATCCAAGACCTCGAATTACATAATATATATGAAATAGCATTTTAATAACCCAATAATAGTAGAGTGGTGTATTGTGTTGTTGTTTTCTACCAGTTGTCCATCAAAAGTTCAATATGGTCATAAGCTATTAGAAAAACTAATGTATAATTGTAAGCTGGTTGGCAGATTTTAGCAAGTTAGTTTTCTATGGGATAGAGTCGCTAACCCTGTGCTCAACCTTCCTCGTTTGTCCGGACTTGGGGCCGAAAGTAGCCTCACAGGGACTCCAGACTGAAGGTCTCAACATACACAAAGGGAAAAGCAAGATACTCTGATACGACACAACATACACCTATCAAATCACATTTGATGGAAAATATATACATACTTTGGCAGCAGCTATTGCAGGTGAGTCATCGGTAACAATACCAACCAACTCTTGATCGTTAGTTGAGCGCTGGAAGAAAGATAAGAATTGAGACAGCAAAGTAGATTTTTCGCGACTTATAAAGACAATACAAACATGTATTGTCATTAAGTTCATATCCAATGCAACTACTTGATACAAATATAAATTTTCGTTATTAGTTTTGTGGGTCCCATCAAAACCAACAACATCAAGAAAGCGAGTTGACAAATTCATCTGATCAGAAGTTGCGAAGATGAAATACAGAAGACAATTTTATTCATCTAATTCGTAACCACAAAGTCCACCAAGCGATATGATGTGAGCTTTTAATCTGGCGTAATCACCTAACGTTTACAATATAAATAAGCACATTGCTTACCAGGAAGGTTGGTCTGTGAGAACACTTTGTGGAGCATATTAAAAACACTTCGGGCATTCAGGCGCTTTTCATGAACGAAACGCAAATTATTGAATGCTGCTGTCCCCGAAATCAGAAGAGGTCACACCATTTCAAATTCAGCGTCCGTTAACCTGCTCATCCAATAATTTCTGTCGTACCTCAGGGGATTACATTCATGATTGTAATGCACATTCCTACGAACAACAGTTTAGTAACCTTTTATAAACCTACAAAAGATGAAGGCCGGACATAGAGTGTTCATTGAAGTCATTCATGAACAATATAATAACAGTAATAAAATTACCTCCTTCATTCAATTAGCTGTGAGGACCCGCCAAGTGTCGTTTCTCTAACATACGACTTTAATATGTGTCTTCTGATCTCTATGGAAATGAGAATCTCGCACAGCATCTTGGCAGTACGTTGCCCTTTCATAAGTTCTGATGGCGTTCTTTAACGCTTCAATTGATTGGAATGCTACCAAATACAATGTATTCAAGAATATGTTATATGTTTCCATGTTCTCAAAAGACGGAAATTTCATTGGATATATTCATGCTTTTATACAAAATTTATCATTGATTAGTAACTAATGTTGTATAACTTAAGTGGTAAAAGCACTAAATATCTTAGTCCTATTAGAGATTGATTAATTCAACTTAGTTGTAAAAACAAAATCTCACTGATAAACTTGAACTCATTAGAGATCTATACTTAGATGAGTGTTGTATTTATACAACTGGTGGTTAAATTGTAAAACTTTCGTCATTGTTCTGAACAATATTCATCAGAGTTTAATTTAGACAGTGAGAAAAATCATCGTTATTGGAGATATTGTAATTTACTTGAGAAAGAATGAAATAAGTAGTGTTATATTGCTTGTGATCATATTGAGCTGATCGGTTCATCTTTTGAGATGTTGATACTAAACAATACATTCTCACTAGTAATTGGCTTCAAGATGTATATCCTGGAGTCCTAGTGAGAAGCAGTGACCAGTGGAGTTCAGCCGGGTCAGTTGTGAGATAGTAACTCACTGATGACAATGTTGGATGTGTCGCTTAATTTCGTGGATTAGTTGAAGTTGGACATTAACACCATTCGATGCCGGCTCAGTGGTCTAGTGGGTAAGCGTCCGTGGGTTCGAATCCCACGAGGCGGGATCGTGGATGCGCACTATCGAGGAGTCCCACAATATGACGAAACGGCCGTCCAGTACCTCCAGGTTTTCCATGGTGGTTTAACTTCAGTTAATTGATGATCTCAACTATTGAAATGTTGATAAATTATATTTTTTTTAACATAGATTCTGGTAAAGTGAGAATATATAATTATAACTGATTGTCTTCTGTTAATGTATGAACAACACCTCACATAAGTTGATTTTGTATTGTTTGTTTGAATCTTCCCATTAATGTTTAGGATTGCAATTGATCAGTCGCTTATTGGCATATGCGCATCATGTTTTGACTGCCTCTTTATCGCTTTAAATTACAGGTATTACAATCACAAGCTAGTGGATATCAGGACTCAGTAGCTAAGTGGATAACGTGATACGTTCGGGGTGAACAGTACTGGATTCGAGCATCGGAGAGGACATCAACTCTGGGATACAGTTACATCCAGATGACGAGTCTAAAGTAGGACGAAACGCGCGTCCTGGATTCCACTGATAACCACCATCCATCTTTGCTTATAAAACTTCACATAATTATAATAGTAATAATATTAGTAAGAGTTATTCCTAGTCGTTTAAAGTATATATAATTAATTCTTACGAAGAAAATTTCAGCCTATAAGTGATAATTTCTCCAACAATCAGAAGTCTTATTTGATAGCCTGACATCATTTATTAATTTTAGACAAACAATGATTATAAAACAAATAAAGCTGAACGTATGATTTATCTTGGCATTGAATTTCTCAGCAGTAGAGATCCATAACTCATCAAGATTCTTTCAAAGAACCTTCAAGCTTCATGGTGAACAGTTAATCTGCAAGCGAATAACCTGAAATCTAATAGTTTGGATTTTTGGTCGCAGTAAACTTAAGGTATTCTTCCAACAACATCTTTTATTATTAGTGATATGTCTCAAACTCAAGAGTTTTGCTCTTTATTCGTTATGGCTTCTTATGAGAATTTGGAGAGTTACCTCTTATATTTACTATTTATTAAGTACATGTTTACCGTTATAATAGTATTTGTAACGATAAATCAATATAAATTTACCTATTAAGGGCTAATTTAAGTTAAATAACCACTGAAAAACAGGAGATATCGGACAGCTGTTTTATCCTAGTGTAAAGTAAAAGACAACGGTTGTCCATTAAATATTCTAAATATAGATCATTCACTGAATAACCTGTTGATCTAGGTGAAGTCTTAGATGTTCACCATTAAGATATCTGATACTATAACGAAATAACTGATTAACAATTCCAGGTTTTCGATGGTTAGGAATATTTAAAATTTAACAATATCCACAGCTTATACTATCTATTCAGAATTATTCAATTAGTATCAATTCAAACTTTCTTTTTTAGTTCATATAGAACAGATAAGATATGACCATCAGAGAAATCCAGAACGTGCGTTTCGTTCCACTTTGGATTCATCAACCAGATGTACCTGAACCCTAAAGTTTACATTTACTCCGGAACACCAATTGTAAACAAATCTCTTTCTTGAAGTATATTTAAACTAAAGATTATCATCATCAATACATCTACAATGGTTTAACTAAGAGGGCTTGCTTAGATTTTTTTTAAATATTAGTGAATACCTCTATATTGATAACACTTCTCAATACACTAGCTACGATTAAAAATTATTATTATTGTCATTATTATGAATACTATTGTCATTCAATATAAACCTGTCCTCAATATTACCCAACATATATATACGTATAAACAAACTAATCACCATGGTAACTATTCTTACGAACCACATGATCTGTTTACAAATTATCACTTCAGCATATGTTAAAATAAAAAAAATTGATCTTCATTATATGATTGGTTGTTCGTATTGTTTTTTCTTCTCTTAGCATATATCCAAAAGCAAATTATCGAGTTATTTTTATTATTGTTAGTAATAACGATCAGATTATGTAAGGAATCAATCATTTTGATGATCAATTCAATTTATCACTAGATTACCATTTTTAAAGATACAAACCGATTTTTGTTGTTGTTGCTGTTGTGAGGTTTTCAATCAATCAATTTCAGAGGGTAACAGAGGGTAACATTGATTAGCGAAAAACTAAAACAAAAGAAAACCTAACAGATCATAATTTAATCAGAAAACAAAAAGTTATGAACAACTCATGAAACTATCCAATTCACAGGATAAATCTTATCAGATTAAAAAACGTCAATCCTTATTTGAAACAAGTGAATTAGGTAAAACAATCAATCGTATCAATTCATTACCAATTAACATTCAAGTAAGTATGATTATCATGATAATTACATTATATTTACTTTTAAAACAATAATCAACATCTTTGTATATAATGCTTGTGAATTAAGGTAATATCAAAGCAATCCGCACAGGATGCACATATGCCAATAAGAGACTGATCAATTGCAGTTCTAAACATTCAAGTAAACAATGCTAAGTGAATTAAAACTTCACCTCATTGCACAAACAAGTGGCTATCAGGACGTAGTAGCTAAGTGGATAAAGCGATGGTGTTAGAAGCGAATAGTACAGAGTTCGAGCCTCAGAGTGCACATCAACTTTGAGATGTAGGTACATCCAGATGACGAGTCTCAAATAGGACGAAACGCGCACTGCTAGCCACTATCCATCTTTGCAAATAATCAATATTGTTATTGTTAGAATGGAGTAAAAAAAGCAAGGTCATGTTAGAGTTTTAGTGTAACATTATTCAGTAAATCATTTGTTCTTTAATAGGTCGTTGATCTGATCCTGACTTAGTATTGATCACTTTAGTGACTGAATATCTATGAATATAAACCTTCAGTTAAGTTTTGTATACTAAAACTAGGCTATCACCATTTAAGCGATAGGGCAAGGGGGTAATAAAAAGCTAAATACGAACTGAACAGGAAGAATTTATTCATGCCTTCGTTTATTCAAACAGATATTAAATTGAGAAGCGGGAAAACGAGAAAATACGCTTGCCAACTGCTCCTAATAAAGCTTGACACACTATTCATAACCAAACTAAATAAACTAATGACACATGATGAATAGAATAAGCGACATACACATATGCGCTCAAATAAAAGACAGTTGAGGTTATAAGCAAGTAATTGACAAGGTCAAAATTTGACCGAAGAAGAATACATTGATTAGTCTGTTCGAAAGTCAGTATAGCCCTTGTAGTTATGATATAGCACTAGACATAACAGTTCTATCTTTAAATCCAGTATTCTTTTGTACTAATTCAATGTGGTCTATACCCAAGAATAATCTTTGTTTTCATTAGTCCAGTATAAAATCTATTTCGTACTTCCTTTATGTCAGATGTGTATATACAGTATTCGTTGACTAATTACTAAATCCCGATGAAATTTGTATAAAATAAGCATATTTGTTTAACAGATTACTGTAATGTTTTAAAGGGTGAATAAAATCCTCATCCCTTGCCAATTTTTATCTTCCTCTTTGTATCATGAAAATCTCAGTTTTTCAGCGCCTCAGGTTCAGTTTTTCACAATTAACAAACATAGTTGTGCTGAGGAGTCTCACAATAGGACGAAACGGCCATCCAGTGTTTCTGGGTTCCCCATGGTGGTCTAGCTTCAATTGACTGATGATCTTGACTATTGAAATATAGTTCTGTTTATATTTTTGAAGTTTATCATGAATTTCGGTTGAGATTGGAATCAGTTTGACTGACAAATCATTGAAAACTAGGGAATAGTAAACAATTGTGTCATTCTTATGTCCATTCTGCTTTAGAATCTAAATCTATGGGGATATATCTCTACATTTTACAACGTTCAATAGTTTTCATGGTGATCACAGTTCATGAAGAAACTGGTCTCTCAATTAGACTAATACCATTTTATTCCCAGATTTATTTATAGTACATACATAGCTCTCTTTGGAAGTATAAATTAAGAATACAGTAAAGCTTTTTGATTAAGATCATGAACCGACAGATGTTAGACCATCACTGAAAACCTGAAAGCATTGGATGGCTGTTTCGTCCTATTGTAGGAATCCTCAGCGGTACGCACATACGATCTCGATCGCGGGATTTGAACCCAGGCCTTTGGTCTCGCCCGCGAACGCCTAACCTCTAGACCACTGAGCCGGCCGGTATTCAACGGTGTTAATGTCTAACCTCAAACAATCCACGAAATTGCGCGACCATCTTTTCAGTCAACCAAATAAGAGAATTTAAATTTGACTGAGAGGTATTATAGATAGATTACTTGGTGCTAGAATAACCTGAAACACACCAAATTACATTCTGTAGACATTTTGAATTTCAAGGGTTACCCCCTGAAAATGTGTTATCACGTTAAGTAAAAATTCCCATTTAAATATCAAGAAACAGTTTTGTTATATATCTTTTAATAGATACAATTAACATATCTATTTTTTCCTATGGTATATTCATTATCTGTACATTCTACTTCATTTCATGTACCTGTGTTCACGAGCTTTTCCGATTTCCAGTCCATTTTTAACTAGTAATATTTGGATAGATCTTGGATTTTTATTGAATTGAATGCATTCAACACTGTTCATTGGTCGGAAGTAATTGAAAAGAAATATTGAATCTACGATCTATACTGTCTGGCATTCGTCAGCTATGAGTACCTGGTATTTTGGAGGAATCAGTGGTCATCGTGGGATTTAAATCTGCATCACCACGGTTTACAGTATGAAACATTATCAGTGAGCTATTCAGACTATGCCTAGGCTCCTTTGGGAGTATGATATTTATAACTGAAGGTTCATTGATTGGTGATCAGCATCATATTGGTCTTTAATATTGATAGATCAGGTTATAATATGGCAACTAGTCTAAGTGGCTCTACATCGTGTCCAGTCTGTTGAGATGTTCAGTAGCTGGAGTTAGTTGATAAGAATACATGAGACTAGTTTTTGTGCTACTCTATAATTATTTACAAGGTGTACCTGTAACGTTGACCACTAAATAAACATGGCATGCTAAAATGAAATAGTGATTCAATGCTTCCAGGTTTTCAGTGGTCTGGCTTAGATCATTTCATGATTTAAACTGTGAACATTCTACAATCTCCACAGATTCCCTATTCCAATATATTCAGTGCTCAATTTACTCGTTTTTTTTCTCGTGAATTTTCTATTTTAGGATCATGGTGATCATTGGAAACGAATAACTGATTTAGCAGAGCAATCAAGTCCATCCATAACAATGCATCAACCAACGTTAAGACGTTCATCAGAGGTACAAAAAAATAAAACTGTGCAATTTGTTTACAAAACATTTGCTTAAAATTCTATTAATTGAAACATTGTTTTACACGATAAATAAGTGCAGCAGTCTGCAGCAATTTGGAAGACTCTCCTAGTCTTTCACATGGTACGAACATTCCATGTACCTAAATAAATGGTTGCTCTGGTTTTTAGAAAAGGCATCGACCTCGTGACTTCCGAAGGAACTCGACTTTCATCATGAGGCGTCATAACTCTTCTAAATGAAGACCTCCTTACTCCCAGGGCAGAGTTTAAATGGTTTGAATAATTTTTTTTTCTGGTTAGCGTTTTTTTAGCGAGTTAGTTTTCTACGGGATGGGGTCGCTAACCCAATCCCCAACCATCCTCCTTTAAGTGGGCTTTCGACCGGCAGTAGCCCTCGGAGGGACTCCAGGCGGAGTTAAGTACGTTATTATTATTATTATTATTATTATTATTATTATTATCATTATTAAGGGGATCTAAGTTATCGTGTTGCTAACATTCAGAACAGAATTTTGATCAAACTTTGTTACTATGTGAAAGACCGGTGAAACTGTAGTTTATGGATGAACCAATCAAATTTAAGATAACAGGTCTTAGATTTTAGCGCGAAATTTATCCTTTGATTTGGCCAAATATTATTTCGGCATCATAATTGATATCAGTTCATGATGAAATCATTAAATCAAATTCTTTATCCTAACTATTAACTGTAAATTATAATTCTAATTCCTTACATTGGTTTATAATCATCATTTAATCTCAGTAAATAGATGGACATTTTCAAGGTCATTTTAATGTTGCTCAAAGGTCGTCCATAAATTATAGTTTCACCAAAAGTCATAGATTACTTATGGTAGGTAGATTGTGTCAACTAGTGAAATGTAGAACATCTATTTACTCCTATCCGGGAATCGTTAGCCGAATGTATCAACATTTAAGTGTTGATAGGATCAAATGCCTTGCCTTGATCCTAACGACAGACAGAATTCATTCATTTTAAATGCATAATTAGCTAATAATTAATAAACTATGTGTGTTATAGTCACGATTTAGTTTAGAGTCAATTGTTAAGGATCATTGTATCAAATATAGTTAATTAGATGGTTTTATTCATAGATTGACATCACTTAAGTATACCATTAAAAAAAATAGATAGAATGAGATAACTGTTTCACTACAGAATGATACTCGTCAACAGTTTTTAATATTACCTGACCTTACGACTAAACACAAATGATAAATTTGAAATCAAGTTGAAATGCTCTTGTTAGATGCTCTTTGGTTTCCCATTGAATCTTCAACTGTTATTAATTTGCATTGTTGTGAATAAATGTTCGGGCGGGGACAAATTACAGGATCTACTGTTAAACTATGAGAACCATACACTGAATTCTTCATTTGTAGAATTCCATCATTTATCCTTCACATTCTATATGATTCTTCCAAGTCACAATTTTCTTCATATTTCCGTTTTCGTTTTCTTCAAGTTGACCTACATAGTCTTCCGCTCTCAAGTTTTCTACATCCGATTGATGTTACAAACTACTTATGTCTGTCGACATAAGTAGCATACACCACAGTACTAATAAACTTTTGTGTGTATTTCATTTCAATGTAAACCAATATGAGTTGTCAATTAATGACAATCTTAAGATGTAAAATAGATGGATAAAAGTGGAATATAGAACATATCTTTTATCCTATTTTGGTCTCTTCAAGTGCATATAACAGCACCCCAGTTTGGATACTAATCTGAAAATCCGGTCCTAAAACTCGGTAACGGAATAATTCCATCTCTTAATAATAATGATATAAACACCATGCCTGCTGAATAAGTTACTGACTCAGTAACTCAACTGATAACACGTTGATATTTGGAGTGAAAGGTATTGGACTCGAGTATTCATGAGAAAATATACAATAGAACCTATGTACATTCATTCGACGAACTCTAACTAGGTGGAAGCACACTTTCTACATTTCAGCATCAACCATAACCCATCTATTCTATAAAATATCTATGGATAGTTTATGTTTAAAACTGATAATGGCTGAGAGGAAACATTTAAACATAAGACTTACTAGTTAATTGTTCTAATTTAGTCTAAAACTATCAACATCTATTCTTTTAGGTATCTTGTATGGAAACTATATCATAGTTTTTAGCTTCTTATTGCATATGCATTATGGATAAACTAACTAAAGGCAAGTACTCGTTTTACACATTTAATTAAGATCATGAACTGAATAATGTCGAACCGCCATTGAAAATATGCAAGCACTAGACGTTCATTTGATCATAGTACTGGACTCTTCAGTAGTACGCATCCACGACCCCACATACAGCACTAGGACCCACAACCTTCAGTTTCGCGAGCGAATGCTTAACATTTAGACAAGTGAACCGGCGTCCAACGGTGTTAGTGTCTAACTTCAACTAATTCACGATAGTGAGCGACCATCTTCTATTGTCTTCAGTGGGTAAATACCTCACACCCGATACGGTTGAAATTTACTGGCCGTCCAGTGCTTCCAGGTTTACATTGGTGATCTAACATTGATCGGGTAGTTGATCTCAATTAAACCTTAACAATCCCCACAACTTTATACTGATAATTGTACATCTTCACACCTGAATTCACAGGTTGATCCATATCAGATCACCATACTACTTACTGATATTCGCTGTTGAAACCAGGAGTCAGTCTCATCCAGGCTGCCAATGGAAACCTAGAAGTACTGGAAGGCTGTTGCGTCCTGGTATGGAACTTGTCCGCAGTGCTCGTTCACTCATTCATCCAGGATGGTAGATGTACAATGTTGAGGAGTTACATACTAGGATAAAATGACCAACCAATACTTTCAGATTTTCAATGATGATCTAGCTTAGATCAAAAGTACTACAATCCCCACAAAGCCCAATACAGATAATTATAAAATTTAACTCTGATTTATCTTAAATTAAACATAGATTTCTATATTCATTCATGATATTGTTTTTAAATTATTGTTTATATATTTACATTAAATAATAAACAGACATCTGAAACTAGTGGAAAATACGATTCACAATCTCTATCACAACAATCTCGTAAAACTAGAACCAGTTATTCAAGTGAAGTAAGGAAATGTAAAAATTTCTATTGAATGTAGTTAATTTTTCTGTTTATTAAAAATAAAATGTTCTGATTATCACATTTACCCCACCCCCACCCAACTTCAAATATGTAGGCTATGTCTTAATTAAAAATTCCTGAGAATTCATATAAAGAACTGAACATTCATGAGAATATGTAGCAATAAATCAATATCTCTGTAAATCTTCGACATTTGATGCTAACCATATTAGTTTTAATGGACTCAGCTAGCTGAAGTTGCTCGATCATGCATCCGTACCATATCACGAGTGGGTACACTATGCTCAATTACTCCTACAACCGCTAGCAATTTTAGATCATTCAATTCTCAATATATTGATAGTCTATCAAATATACTTTCAAACCTCTTCGCTTCTGACTTCTGATTTTACTGAATTGGCGCCTTTCGATTATAGAATATGTTACTGGTGTTCTCAAACTTTAAATACTTTCTATCTGTAACCATTAAATATTGAAATATATAATCATTTGTGTGGTGAACAAGAACACGAGTGGGGCAATCGAATGTATTTGTGAACGAAATTACAGAATATCTCACTAAAATCTGAGTACTATACAGTAAATACTTAATTTGCAAAATATCAATCCATTGTTTCAAACTTGGTTGTTCTTTTTTCAAATATAAGTCCATCGTCTCAGATTTCATACGAATTGCCTTCCGTTTCCGTTCTTTCCTTCTCGATCATCTACCGAAATACATTCTTTTCTTGACTATCGTTATATACTACTTATGTGGGTATAAGTAGCTCACACCACAATTTGTAGCTTAACATTAAGAATTGACATTATCAAGAAAACCACCTAAGAATTAGAACGTACTAAACAACTGTTTCTATCTAGCAATAAAAATTTCTGAATCTATATGTATCCACAATACAATCAGTGATAGAATACAGAACTTTCAAGTTTCTCGATGAGTGCTTTATCTTCAGATTATTAAGGGGGTTATGAGTAACTGAATATTCAGTTTGAAAAAACTAGTTATATAGAGTAAGGGAGATGAAATCACAATTAATGATAATCAATTAGTGGATAAAACTAGGATAAAATTAACTTATTTAGTTCAGGTAAGTAATTGAGCATAAATAAGAATACATAATACATGGAAGTACTACATAACAATTATCTGTAATAGGGTAAAGAAAGGTTGATCTCATATTCACTCTTTATACATAATTCATATTAATTATACTTAATGGCTTTTGAAAAACAAAGTAAGTTTAGTGTTCATATTGTGTGTTAATAACCTTAATGATTGCTTTCATTACACATTTAAAATATATGAAAATTATACTTGGAAAACATTGTAGTGGCTAGTACTATGTTTAGCCCATAAAGTTCTATTCTAGCTTATGGACGGACCGATTTATTTATTCTTCTCATGCCACAATTTGACCTTGTTGATTATCCGATTATTAACCCCTGTGTGTTAACTGCTTGCCTTATTCATTGAGTGTCTGAATATAAATATTGAGTCACACTTAATTAATTCAAGTTGGTTCACTCGCCTTCTCCACTGATCACCAGTACGTTTCGTTTCCCTAATTGTCTGTCTAGATCAACGACCGTACGAAATACACGTATTCAAACTCCATTCTCGTATTTGGATTATTCAATTCCGTGATTTACTAAAGCAATTCAAGTCGATAATTATATAAGAAGGTTGGCGGTATGAATATTTCATTAGCAATCAATATGCGATATAACTGGAGTCAGATATCGGGCCGTTAAAGCATTCGTCGTTAATAGTTACTTAAATATTTTAATTTCTAAGAGTCGTATATAATGAGTTCAAATTGCAGTAAAATATTACGAAACGTGAAAGTATAGCGAAAAACATTATTAGTTGAAATCACGAGTCGACTAGAGCTAAAATATCATGGAAAACTTGGAAGCACTAGACGGCTTTTTCATCCTAGCATGAGACTCATTAGCAGTGCACACCTACGATCCTGCTTGCAAGATTCGATCCCAGGATCTATCGGTCTCACGCACACACGCTTAACCACAAGATCACTGAACCGCCATCCAACGGTATTAATATCTAACTTCAATCAATCCACACTATATTAAACCAATTTACAGTAATCGATTTTAAATTTCTTGCCGTATTACCTTTGTTTACATCGTTTAAACTACATTTCCGTTTGTAAACATTTCATAACTGCAAATGATTATTATTTTTCGCTATGTGTGTATCCCAAGTAAATCACCTCTATATTGCCGTATAAAAAACATTTTATTTATAAATTAGTTCTAAAGGATCTAGCATTTTTACGATCACAGCTTTCGCAATGGATAAATTTTGAAACTAATTTTTACTACTGACAAGTAGTATAACTTTAAAAATTGGGATAATAAGTCAAATGAAACTAAACCACCATGGGGAACCTGGAAGCACTGGACGGCAGATTTGTCCTACTGTGGGACTCCTCGGCAGTGCACATACACGGTATTGGCACGAGAGATTTGAACCCAGGACCTATCAGACAATGGTGGATGTGTCACTTAATTTCAAGGATTAGCTGGATTTAGACATTAACACCGTTGTAGTAGTAGTCTAAAGGTTAAGCGTTCGAGCGCGAGACTGGAAGGTCTTGGGTTCGAATCTCGCAATGCTGAGGAGTCTCACAATAGAACGAAACGGCAATCCAGTGCTTCCAGGTTTTCCATGATGGTCTAGCTTCAACTGACTCATGATCTCAACTATTAAAATTACTATAATATCCACAAAACCCGTTCTGACAGTATAACTTTATTAGAAAAACTTCAAATGACATCAGTAAACAATTAACGCTTTTTTCACTAGATATGATTAATTAATCATAGTAACTCTTTAACTAGGATCTAAAAAAAGGAACTTTGCATGTCATGATAAGAATATTTCCGCCAATTTTTTCTACCTATAAAGAAAAATCATAATTAACTCATCAGTTTTATATTATCCTGAACACTCTAAAATTCATTTTAAGTAGAAATGAATGGTGGCCAGCGTGGAATCCAGGACTCTAGTTTCGTTCTGTTCAGGACTTATCACCTGGGTGTATCTGCATCCCAGACGTGATGCTTAATCGGGGACTGGGACCCAATACAGTTTACTCCAAACCTTACCGCATTGTCGACTAAGCTAATGAGTCCAGGTGGTTACCGGATTGTGAAATTTTAATTCACTTTTATTGGTTATTTCAATCTTCCCACTGATGTTTAAGGCTAGATTCAATCAGCCTCTTCTGGAATATGTTCACCCTGTGGGAATTATAAGAACAGGATATATAACTACCAAATGAGACTGATTAATGTAGTCCTCAATATCAATTAGATGATTCAAAAACCAACACAAACGAACCCGGAATCCAGTTCTAGGATGAGACGATATTAGCTTATAAACTATTAAAAACCAAGAAACAGCCAGAACAGATTATAAATTTTATATCATGTAGGAAAGTATGTTTGGTAACAGTTCTCGATGGTTAGTCGATTGGCATCAGTAGATAGTACTGAAAATTACGTAGTTTAAATCAAGAATAGTATTTACTTAGGTAAAAACAAAGAAAAATTAAAGTTCTGTTTTGTCCTAGAATGCAGAATAATTCCATACAAGGATGGAATAGCTGTCAAGTATCATGTAGGTCTCATTGATTGTTTAACTAAGGTCGGTGCTTGTTATGTAAACTACATTTTTAAACAATCTCCATAAACTGATAATATTATTCATGATAAGTATTTTTGATGACATAGTAAATGGATAAATGTAGCATACTATTGTAATTAGTGATAAATAGTTGTTGGTCAATCAAAAATTTATACAGAAACTAAGTCATTATTGATTATGTTTTTCTTTTCAAATTAGAAAACTGTGAAAGAATTCGAAGAACTCACTGCTGAAGTAGAAGAAGAAAGTAAGATTTTTGATAGATATACTGAATTTGGTGGAATTAAATCTCAGGAAACCGAGAAATTAGAGAATGATGAAGATGATAAAAATGTGAGTTTTATTAACATTCAATCCATTGTAATATATATATATATATATGGAATCTAAAGAGACATCACACTATTATCGGTACCAGGAAAAGTTGTCGACAGTATGTTGCTGAGCCGGAGGAAATACTCAGTAGATGATGAGCTTCGAGATCAATAGATCAGATTCTGTAAGGATCGGTTGTGCACAAACTGAATAGCGACGCTACAGAACATCAAGAACATGAATATACATCAACTTCTTTGACTATGAGAAGGCATTTGTTAGTGTGAATAAGTGAGCCTTATGAAATCTTTGTCGATACTTTGATGTACCTGGAAAGATCGTCAATGTCATCTGGAATTCATACGACGGATTACAGTGAAAACTCGTACACGGAGGTTATCTGGCAGAATCATTCCAAGTGAGGACCGCAGTCAGACAAGGTTGCTTACTCTTTCCCTTTCTTTTCTTTCTGATGATTGACTAGATTATGTAGACCTTCACATCTAAAGAGAAGCGCGGAATAAAATGCACAGTTTGGATGCAACTAAACGATTCAGACTTTGCATATTACCTGACTCTTTCATAGCATACATACCAACAAATTCAGGTCAAGACAGACAGTTTAGGAGCAGCTACTGCATCAGTAGGCCTCAACAAGATCCTCAAATACAACACGGAGAACTCCAACCCAATCACACTTGATGGAGAAGAGCTGGATCATGTGTAAACTTCCATATATATATATATATATATATATATATATATATATATATATATCAGGAAACTGAAACACTAAAGCAATTCGTATTGAGCTTACAAAGTTCGATTTCACGCTTCTACATTTCCGACTGATTTTAGTTAGATAATCGTTAAAAATCAAGATTCATTGGAAAACTATTTAATGTTATGAAACTGTAAGTCTTACAGTCTTTACAATTCTCTTAGCTAACAGTTATCATGCACTAACATGAGAGGTGATTCTCAGACTTCTAGTAAAAAATTGTAATCAATTAAGTTCAGCCTTACAGGGTATGAGATAAGTATTACGAATGATAATGAATTACAGTTGTACAATTCAATAAATTAACTGCAGTTACAACTGCAAAATGTCAGATGATAAGTGAGTAATCTAGAGTGTATATGCTATCTGCGAAACCTGAAAGCCTTATTGTGAAAGAACACTTCTATTAAGTCTCATACAAGAACAAAACTAATGTCTAGTGCTTCCTAGTTTTCAGTGGTCATCCAATTAAGGCTAGTTCATGTGATCAATTTGTATGATCAATAATCTATACAATCTGCTGTATTAATGTATTTCACTTTTATTCTCAGAATGAGAGTTTGTGAAGACCATAGTAATTTTAATAGTTGGATTTATGAGCCGATCTAAGCTTGATCAGTATTGAAAACCTAGAATTACTGGACGGCCGGTTCGTGCTACTATGGGACTCTTCAGAAGTGCACACCCCGATACGCGACTCGAACCTGGGACCTTCAGTGCCCGTGTAGGGTATGAGATAGTTATTCACCGAAGACAATGAAGGAAGATTTGTACAAGATCATGGATCAATTAAAGTTAGACAGTAACACCGTTGGATATCGGCTCAATATTCTAGATGTTAATCGTTCGCGTGTAAGACCGAAGGTCCTGTGTTTGGATTCCACATGTGGTATCGTAGATGCGCACTGCTGAAGAGTCCTATACTAGGACGAGACAACTGTCTTCCAGGTTTTTAACAGTTGTCTAGTTTACATCGAGTCACTATTTCAACTGTTGAAATAACATGAATATCAACCAATTAATAATAAATTACTATCAAATCCTTTCTCTGAATTAAATATTACAAATAGTGTAAAGTTACATATTTGATACAGTCATAAAATTGAATGACACATCTTTCGGATAAAAGAACAAAATGTTCACAATCAATTTAATAGTGAATAATGTTCAATGTTCTATTCATTTAATCAGATCCTGTCGATCAAGTAACAATGAGATCAATGATCTTAATAACTGATCAAATGTGTCTACTATATTAAGGTGTCAGAAGATTAAAGTTGGTCTATGAATAATACTGAATCTAGGTTCCATGTTAATTAACATTTTTCAACAAGTTACACCTGAAATCTCAAGGAATCTATTACTTCTTAGTCTGATAATTATCAATCCATCAAAGCTATAGAAAATCAACAGTTATTGGAATCACTCTATGTTAACGTTTCGAAGCGTGAAGCTGCATGACGTCGAATAAGATTATCCAGGAAGAATCACATTCCTTAAATTCCAGATACGTCTTGTTGAAAAATGTACATTGATTTACTGTTGACACTATCCAACTACACTGTAGTAGCTGGTTCTATGTCAAGCCCACAATGCTTATTCTAGCTTCCGGACAAGCCAGTTTATCCATTCTAATCAAGCTACATTTTGACCATGTTAATTATTCGCTTATCAACCTTTACTGTATATTTGTGTGCACTGCTTATCTCATTCATCACATGTTTGTAACTTATTTTTGTGTGACTATAAATGTTGATTAAATCTCGGTTAATTTGAGTTGGCTTACACGCTTTCTCTACTGCGCACCATCTCGCTTCGCTCCCTTCAATTCGTCCCTTTGATTGTCTGTCCAGATCAGTAAGTGTACAAAATATAAGTACTCAAAAATCCATCCTCATATTTGACTTATCTAATTCATACATTATAGCGGATTAAGTCGATAATTATATGTGAAAAAAATCAGAATGTATATTTCAATAACGATCATTTGTACAGTCCAACTGGAGTCAGAACCCTGGAAACTAAAAACACAATTTTTTTTTGTTTTTTTTTCCAGTTATTATTCAAAACACAAATCAATAAAAAACCAGATCAAACCAAATTGATTTTACATAATAATCATTCAATTAGAAAACAATTATCATGTATCAAAGATCATCCTAAACCTCAACCATTTCCAGATAGACAACTTTATATTTATGTTATAGCAGATCCAACAGGTAAATATATATAAATGAATTCAATTTTGTTATATCAATGATATGCATATTATATCTATGTGCTTCAATACCAATCATCATATAAAGTTCTTTACCCCGTATTAATTCTACCGATGCGTCTACTTGACCTGATTGAGATACGCGCGAAACCAAAGTTCCAAAATAACGATTTGTTTACAATAGCGGTTCTTTATTGAATAATACACAAAATTTAGTTACATACCTCAACTTGTGAGGTGTCTGTGGCGTTTAAACGCGTCCTTCAAGTATTAAGATAAAAGGCTTCCTGTAACAGTACCATAAAGAATAAGTATAACATACGATAGTACAAAGGACAGCTGATAGCTGTGTCTAAATTTGATAGCAGTTTATGAACAACCGAAACCCGAATCAAAAGCAAAACAATATGGAAACTGTTGCGTTTCAACAAATGCACGAAACTGCGGATAAACGTTACAGTGATTAAGGTACAGTAATTATAATGATAAATACAATGATAAGTACAATAAACATCATAAATATATGTGAATAATTCAGAATAATACACTACAACTTGCGTTACAACATAGGTGTAAAATTGTTGGGAATACAATTGCTTACTGAATATAAATAAGTAGTACAAAGCAATATACAAAAGAGTAGAAAGGAAACGAGTAGGAACAATGTAAGCAAACTTAACACCCCGGTTTAATCGTCAAAATTAACGTTGTATCACTTTTTCCATTCTTGAAAAAAAACCAAAACAATCACATAGAGATGATATTGGAATAACAAAGAGATAGTAAAATCTAAAACAATAATGCAGCTGTAAACTCTTTGATTTTGAAGATTCCTAGAAATCTCTCAAACAATAGAAATGAAGATTACTTACTTACGCCTGTTACCCCTCATGGAGGAGTATAGGCTGCCCACCAGTGCTCTCCATCCATCATTATCCTGGGCAATCCTATCCACGTTGGAAACACTGGTTCTCGTCCGGAGATGAAGAAAGAGACAGCTAAATTTTCGCAAAATAAAAGTAGAACTAACTTGATCTAACTTTTATAAATCAACATATTATCACTTCAATATGCACAATCATCAAGTAAACAAGTGTATGTAAACATATGTAAATATAGAGTAATTTTCTAATTATCTGCACGTCTGCTTCTAATTCCCGACAAAGTGTGTTCTATCTCTCTCTTCTTCGTTTCCTTTGAGGATTTCAGGTTAGGGCTTAAATCGTGATACGGTTTATTGAGTTTCGTGATGAATGTCCTATCCACTTCCAACGTTTTTTCTAATTTTCTCCTCAGCTGGCAGTTTATTTGTTCTCTTCCATAGTAGGCTGTTGCTGATGGTATCCGGTCAACGGACATTGAGTATCCATGTGTAGACAATTGTTTATAAATACTTGTACTATTTTGATGATGGTTTTAGTAGTTCTCTAGGATTCAGTTTCGTACAGTAGGACTGCCTTGACGTTCGTATTGAAGATTCTGGTTTTGATATTGGTTGACAGTTGTTTTAAGTTCCATAAGTTTTTCAAATGTAAGAATACTGCTTTGGTGAAAGCCAAGATTCTTTGAAATATACTTTATGAATTAAAAAGACTAGCTCTAAAATTCTTCTGATTAAATGAATAAGAATATTTAACATCGAAACAATATAATATTTAGTTAAGGTGATATAACATAATGGTTGATTAATTAAACACACTGATGACAATGGTGGACGTTGGCTCAACTTTGTGGATAGGTAGAAGTTAAACATTAACACCGTTGAGTACCGGCCAACTCAGTGGTCTAGAGGTTAAACGTTCGAGCGCGAAACTGATAGGTCCTGGGTTCGAATCCCGCGAGGCGGTAGCATGAATGAGTACTGCTGAAGAGTCCCACAATAGAACGAAACGGCTGTCCAGTACATCCAGGTTTTCCATGGTAGTCTAGCTTTGATTGACTCATGAATTCCACTATTAAACTTACTACAACATCCACAAAACCCCTTTCCGATTATGATCCATTAAAATTTGGATTAGATCTTATTTCTAATTGTTTACCAATTGAACAATGGTAAGAAAATAAATTACTTAGAAGGTTAGATCGTATAATGGATAAAATGAAACTTATCATTTGAATCAACTATATGATGATGATGTCTGTAAATGATTGTAAATTCAGATTCATTGAATTTATTTTATACTATGAACTATTGCATAATATTCTACAAATTAACTGTTAACTTATACCATGAGTCACTATAAGGTGGATAGTTAAAGTTGTTCCTACCGCGAAATGATGTTCGTCAGAGAGTATTGTATTTTATGCATCCAGTTTTGATGTTGGTTTCTGGATGTCTAGTCCCATGAAATCCTTTAAAATAAAAATTGGAAATAATTCAAATGAAATTAAATATATGAGAAGAATTAGGAAAAGTGGAAAGTTTTAAAAGTCTATACAATACTACTAGTTTATAAGAATGTATAAACCTTCAGTATGACAAATTTTAGCGTGAGGCAGTTAGAAGATAGTCTATAATCAATCTTAAGTATTATGCTAGTTGGAACTAGTTAACAAAAAGTACATTGTAATCATTGTTTATTTATAGATATGAGGATTGAACTCACTAATTTACGAATGTATGTTTGGCCATATTTACAAAGAATTTGTAATGAACGTGGATTTACACTTAATATAATTGATGACAGTATGGATACAGATATTGAACCACGTAATCAATTGATGATGCCAATAATGAATACATTAGGTGATTCAATAAATGATTATGAATTAAAAGAACATTTATCTAGAAGAATGAAACAAAAGAATTATCTAAATTGTCTGGTAAGTAAATGTTTCAATAGTTTTTAACTACAATTTACTTTCAACAGAAAGTATAATACTATTGAACTACTAATTTGATCACCAGTAATTTACAGTCTTTCTAACTTAAGTCACTGATTGATATCCTCTGGTTGAATACGAAATCATGAACTTGGAGAACTACAACAACCACCATCAAGAAGGTACAAATATTTATCAGTAGCTGTCTACGCAAGATACTCAACATCCATTGGCCGGATACAATCAGCAACAGCCTACTGTGGGAGAAAACCAACCAACTTCCAGCTGAAGATGAAATCAGGAAAAGACGATGGAAATGGATAGGATATACATTGAGGAAATCATCAAACTGCATTACGAGGCAAGTGCTAACTTGGAATGCTGAAGGGAAGCGGAAAAGAGGAAGGCCAAAGAACACATTACGTCGGGAAATAGAAGCAGATATGAAAAGGATGAATAACAACTGGAAATAGCTAGAAAGGATTGCCCAGGACATGGTTAGATGGAGAATGCTGGTGAGCGGCCTATGCTCCTTCACGAGGAGTAACAGGCATAAGTAAGTATGTAAGTCTCCGTAACATATGAAGATCTAAGATACTAGTCTGTTAATAGAAGCTAGTAAGAATTTTTTGGTTGAGATGTGACAACTCGCCATTGCATCAGTAGGCTTAAACGTACATAAAGAAATGAATTATAACTGTTGTTTAAATTTTTCCATTATATCCAGTGCTGTATGAATTATCAGTTTCTCATATGTTTTCACTTTCCACTTTTTAAAGCACTTATTTAATAAATGTTGATAATTTTGGAAAGGATATAATCGTTTATATTTGTTTCATTACATACTTACGTACTGACGTCTGTTACCCCTCATGAAGGAGCATAGACCACCCAACAGCATTCTCAATCCAATCCTCTACTAGACAATCCTTTACATTTGTTTCAACTTGCTATTCATTTTTTGATGTCTACTTCTGATTCCCGACGTAATGTGTTCGCTGGCTTTCCATGTTTTTGTTTTTCTTCGGGATTCCAAGTTAGGGTTTGAATCGTGATACGGTTTGATGATTTCAGTAATGTATGTCCTATCCACTTCCAACGTCTTTTTCTAATTTCCTCTTCATGTGGAAGCTGGTTTGTCCTCCCTAACAATAGATTATTGCTGATGGTATCCGGTAAACGAACATTGGATATCTTGTGTCGACAATTGTTTATAAGTACTTGTACTTTATATTTGTTTCATAGTTGAATATAAAAGTCAGTAATTTGTACAATGAACTCTTGTAATCACATTATCGTTAGTTTAGATTCAAGTTCGAGTGTGATTGCAGTAAGCGATGATTTGTTACTCGGTTTATTATGTCTTTAGAAATACATTTGAATGAAAAAAGTGTAAAGCTATACATATTTAATACTGTAGTGAACGAGAACGCAAGTGGGGGCAATCGAATGTATTTTAATACGACATTACAGAACATCTTAGTAAAATCTGAGAACTATACAATGAATACCTCATTTGCGAAATGATAATCATTTGTCTCAGACTTCACTGTTCTTTCGTTTCCACATCAATCATTCTGTGTTCTCGTTCTCTTTTCTTCGATCTTCTTACCCTTTTGCCACCAGGCATTCCACTGTTGATTAATGAAACATACTACTTATACCAGTCGACATCAGTAGTACACACCACAATATATATTTCAGTAGTATTGAATCAATCACTATTTTCCTCTAATATTCATAGTCATATCCTCAAAATGTCTTGTTAGGAGTAAGGGAAAAACAATAGTGGTTCTAATGTTAGATGCCAGGCTTATTATACACAAGCATTTATTGATCCACTATACACATGAACAGAAAAGATTACATAAGTTCACACATATGGTTACTTGGACTCTTTACTCGGTGTAAATATAATTATTTCATTTCAATGTATAAATGATATTTTTCTAAACACTTAACATTGAACAATAGAATAAGGATTAAGACACTCTTCCGACTTGTGACATACTCTTAGATAATATCAGTCACCTTCATAGAATAGATATATTCATACCTAAGAATTTGAATATTTATATGGTTCCAATTTGTTTATTTCAGTAACACAGTAACTAAAAGCTTTTAATACCATCTACTGATTATGAACCTAATATGTATATGTAGATATATATGTGTGGTGCATACTACTTATGTTGACAGATATAAGTAGTATGCAGCCACAATCGAGTCTAAATGTCTGTCAGCAGAAGATTGCGACGGTAGAATTTGAGCAGAACAGAAAAGGAAACAGGGAGAAATCGTTAAAGCAACAGGATTAAAAGAATCATGAATCATGTAACGGATAACTGAAGAAAGATATGTAAATAATAATATCGTTACTTATAACTTAAAATTGTATCGATAATTTGAGGATGTTTCTGTTTTGCCTACATGGAACTTTATCTCATCATTAAAACACTATTCCGTTTAAACAATTAATTCACTATTGTTATAACTTGTGGCCTTGGTGCTCTATTAATATATAACTTAATGATACCGCCAATTAGAGAACAGTGATTTATTGACGCGACTTGTGACGCATAAAACCTGTACGAGCAGTCTGGAGTCCTTATAGGTCTTTTCTCCTGATTAGCCTTGCCTATTGAGTCCAGAACACAAATCTAAACCTCCAAGATATGAATCATTTATTTCAAACATATTGGGTTTATATACAAACAAAACAGATCACATCGTACCACAAAATAGAAAACAAAATTTTTACAAAATCAAGCAAAACGTAACTGTAAATGTGGGAGACTGTAATTAATAGATTGGGCATAAGTCAAGAATAATAGTCTATGGGTCAAAATGAAGCTTTTAATAAGAGGAACATGAATATTCATAGTTTATACAATGAAAATATATGTATAGTATTAGTCCAAAAATAGATTCCAACAGTTATCACTCATTATTCTCATCAGGATATAACACATATATTAAACAATCTCTGGAATGTATTCAATCATATAAGCAGTCCAAATAAAATACATGACCTTGTGTACATATCAAGGGATTATTAACATATTTACCAAAATATTTTAGTTGATTAACTATAAACGGATTTTCAAAATGATTAGATATTATTTTAATGATTGAGATTATGAGTCAATTGAATCTAGACCACCATGGACAACCTGAAGTACTGAATGTCCATTTCGTCCTATTGTAGAATATTACTTGGAGAATCATTGAAAACCCTGAGCACTGGGTAATTGTTTCATTATACTTTGGAATATCTCAATAGTACATAGTCATTTTTACATTCTGAATCAAGCTACAGATCATTGGATCTCCTAATAATCATGATTCATTTAGACATTCTGATTGTTAATCTTATCATTCTAATAATTGATAAAATACCTTAATTATTATTCAAAATTGTCAATAAACATTTATTTTAATGTTTATTTATATGGAATAGATTCTACTATCCAATCGTTCAGTTGGTCCAGTTATTCAATTACCTCAATATCTTCCTAACAGTTTAATAAAACAAATTAAAAATAGTGCATTAGAAGAGATAGAAGATTTAAAATCTGAAATAACTATGTTATCAGAAAAATTACCTGGATTTGATAGTCCACGTCTTCAACGTCGTCTTTCTAGATATTTAGGTTCACAAACATCTTTAGGATCATTATCTGAAGAGGTAACAATGAAACAAGTGAGTATCATTATTGATAATTCATATGAAATATTGTTCGACATTTTCTTTCTAGATTTGTTCAGGTTGATATTCTAACTCTTAAGAAATATATGGTTTTAACTGTAGTTATAGAACCCTTCAGAAGACTTTAAACAGAAGATCTAGGATTTGATAAATTTAGTTACGGTATAGATCTATTTTATATCAGCAAAGGGAGATAATAAATATTGAACGAACTGCTATGATTTACTCAAATACGGAGGCTGTTTTATGTAAATAATATTTCAATGAACAACAGATGTAATAAAGGCAAACTGCTAAAAATGACAGACGGATAGATCAGTAATAATGAAATGGATTAAATATCAGGGATTCTTATCTGTTTAGGAGTAACAACTCTATGTAATAGAGAGAGATAACAAAGTTTACACAATCAAAAATGATTGATAATAACATCATTCTATTCACAGTCGAAACTACGAGTCAATCGAATCTAGGCTACTATTGGAAACCTGGAAGTATTGAATGGCCGTTTTGTTCTAGTATATGACTCTTCAGAAGTGTGCATTCAAGCATTCATGCAGAATCGTGGATGCACTCTGCTGATGAGTCCCATGCTATAGCATAAGTGCCTTCAGGTGTTTCCAGGATTCCAACGGTGGTCTAGATGTGACTGACTCGTGATTTCAATTGTGAATAAATTATAATCTCTACAGATCCTTCATACTGACAACATAATCTTTCGAATATTATTAAGTAGTATGATGGAATGCAAAAACATAATCAATGGCGATAATTTCACAACTGGCTACGATCCATCTATTCTATAAAACATTGGAATACATATTACTTAACACGTCTATTGAGATTTGATGCATCTTGGAGATAGTTTTTTCATTTATTTACATCATTTTTATAGTATCACCATCTCGATTCAATTCAAATAGTTTACAATTGATTGACCACTGGGTTGTGATCAATGTCATGTATGTCAGGTTCTTCTTAGTGCAGATCAAATATTATCAACCAAGTTGTAATATGGCTATCAGTCTATGTGGCTTGACATCACGTGCCCTATGTTGAGATAAGATGGTGGTTATAGATAGTCAACAGGAAGCCCTGGACTTAGGTTTAGTGCTACTTGGCACTCGTCAGCATGGTGTACCTGCAATCCTGAGGGAGCATCAGCTCCCTCATGGATTTGATCTCGCGTCGATAGGATTCGATCTGCAGTAAGAATGACCTGACATACATGTCATTGATCACCACCCAGTAATAAATCAATCGTAAATACATCTCAGGCCTACAGGAGGTCAGTTGCAGCCCAGATAACTCATTGATAACATTTTTGACTGTGAAGCTGCATTACACTGGATTGAATCCGTCAGGAAGCATTAGTTCCCTCAAGATTACAGATACATCACGCTGACGGGTACCAAGTAGCACGAAACCTAAGTTCAGGGTTTCCTGTTGACTACCTCTAACCACCATCTCAATTTAAATAGTTCTAGGTTTGTATACTGTGTGACTGTTTTCTTACTGAATGCTGACATATCTACTAATCTCTTGTATTTTAATCATTTTAGTCTCACATGTCACCAGTAAGTGATACGATACCTAACAGACGGAATACTTTAAAATTTTCTAATGTTACACCGATACAAATGACACAAATTGAAGATTCAATACGTCAGAAAAGTGAAATTATACGTACACTTAATCCAGATATTCTAGACAAATGGTACTGTCCAACTTCAGATTCACATCCGGATATTTCATATTTACAACCAGTTAGGTATGTTCATTTTAATTTTACGTAATTGTTATCAATCAATTTTTAAAAATCCTGAATTGGTTTTTAGATCTAGTCAAGAGATGTGACAAATATACCATTTATAACGCAGTTCTCAGTTAAGTTTTGTATTTTGACGGCGATTTCATTGTGAACAACATCATTAGCTCTTATTTCATGAAGATATAGGCTGTTTATAGTATTTATATAAGTGTGTTGTGTGGGCGAAGGATACTTACAATGGTTAAATCAAAACATCAGAAATTCAAACGAGTGATCACAAGTAACTCTTATTTATTTAAACAAATAACTCACATAATTTTATGAATAAAATATCAAACTACAAAGCATTACTGAGTTTTTTTTAATTCTAGAAGTTAAGCGTTCGTGCACAAAACCGAAGGTGCTGAATTCGAGTCTCGCTTACGAGATAGTGAGTACGCATTGGTGAAGAGTCCCATATTAGGAAGAAACGGCCGTCCAGTGTTTAGATGGTGGTTGGAAGTAGTCAACAGGAAGCCCTGGACTTAGGTTTCGTGCTACTTGGCACGCGTCAGTATGGTGTACCTGTAATCCTGAGGGAACTGATGCTACCTGACAGATTTGATGCCGTGTCATTACCATCTTATCTCAACATATTGCACTCAATGTCGAGTCACCTAGATTGGTGGCCACATTGCAACTTGATCGATAGCATTCGATCTGCACTAAAAAGAACTTAACACACATGACATTGGTCACCACTCAGTGATTAATCAATTGTGATTACATCTCAGTCCTACAGGAGGTCGGTCGCGGCCCGGATAGCCCAGTGGTAATGTCTCTGACTGTGAACAAATAGCTATTCAAAGTTTCCTATTCCTCTTTTCCCACTTATTCTCAGCAATTACTATCCACAGAAATAGTATTACTGATGTAAAGTTCCTAAGACCTGGTATATCAGACGATGGAATAACTAACATGAGAAAACCTTTCACTTTATAGTATGAGTGAAATTTATCTATAAAAAAACATATTGAAATCAAAAGTAGCTTTCATGACCAAAAGTTTAGGGTTTTTGAAAATTGTATATTGTGAACTGTATAATTAAGATCAGTAAGTTTTGTAAATTACAAAACTAAACGATCTTCACAAACTCCTCTCCAAAAATCAATAATTTACTCAGTAGCAACTTATTACTAGGGTTTGAAGTAAGAAGCTGTGATCAATGGCATTCAACCATATCAGGAATCTGGTAATCACTCATCATTTGGATTGGTAGGTAGTTACTCAATATTGCGAACTTAAAATGGGAACAAATAACTAACATTTTAGTGGTTAACTTCGTAGATAATATCGACAACAGTTCAAGATGATTTTGCGTAGTTTGAAGATGAGTGATCGAATACAAAAGTGAATTTATAGTCAAATCTAATATGGCGCAATAAGCCACGGCAAAGGCTAATAATAGGATTCGAGCACATACACGAGAAAAAAGAATGATTCATCTAACAATATTGAAGCAATTAACATTTAAGCTAGAAAAAGATCTATGCACAGGCTGTCACATGTGATCAAGCGTACATATTTATACAGATATGATAGTGATCATAGAACAATACAGTGAAATAGACGGATTGTTACTGTTCAAATAACATTGTCTGGTAAATAAGTTAATAAAAGAAATTGACAAAAATTAACCATGTTCGAAATTGATTGTAGGAGATCTTCATTGAAAACCTGGAAGCACTAGACGGCCGTTTTGTCCTAGTATGGAACTACTCAAAGGTGTGCATCCTTGAACCCGCACACAGAACTCGTACCCGGGACATTCGGTCTTGCACGCGAACGCTCAACCTCTAGACAACTGAACTGGCATCCAAAGGTGTTAATGTCTTACTTCAACCAAACCACGACATTGAACGACTGTCCAACATTGTCTCAAAACAGACATTGATCCATTCATGATATCAATCTAAATTCAACAACCTTCACAACCCTACATTGAAAAGAAATGCACTATTAATCATACATTAGATACAATGCTTACCTTGAAATGATTGAAGCAAACAGGTGTAAAATTATTTTCATCGACAAAATATGAAAACAAATGATAATAATTTTGTCAAATTGACATGCAAAGATTATTGAAAAAAAACATATTTGATGTACTGGTGTAATTCTTATAGTTGAAATACCAAGTTAATTTTAGCTAGACCACTATTGACAATCTGAAAGGATCGAATAGTTATTTCATTCTAGTATGGCATTCCTCAACAGTGAATAGCCACAACTCCATCAAAGGGAATCAAACTCAAGTTCTTAGATCTTGCGCATGAACGCTTAGTCTTAATTGGGTATATAAAGACCATGAAATTAACTTTTCGACTATTTTCATTTTCAGTAAAGGGTTTTGTGGAGATTTTAGAGATTTCAATAGTTGAAATCATGAGTCGATTAAAACTAGACCACCATGGAAAACCTGGAAGCACTGGATGGCCGTTTCGTCCGATTTTGGGACTCCTCAGCAGCATGCATCCACGATCCCGCTTCACAAGGTTCGAACCCGTGACCTATCAGTCTCGCGCGCGAGCGCTTAACCATTAGACCACTGAGCCAGAATCCAACGGTGTTAATGTCATTTTACTCAAACGTTTATAATCTAGCTTATAAACGATTTAAAACGTTGATGAAATCATTAGGCTTACTTTTTTTCTACTTACTTACGCCTGTTCCTCCTAGTGGAACATAGGCCGCTGACAACATTCTTCAACCCGCTCTGTCCTGGGTTTACACTCTTCCAGAAAAAACATTATTATCCTATTAGATATGTATATAGTTTGTTCATTTCTAATATAATCGTACAAAATTTCTAGTTTCACATTTATTAAAGTAGGTATTCTTTATCTAGATTCAATTGAAACTCTTATATTCTTATTTAAGTCAAATTCTCCCAGGGATCACATGTTTCGATGATCAGAATATACGTCAAGCGGAATTGAAATCTTGGTTAAATGATTCTCATCGAATACGATGTTTACTTATGCGCTTCTCTGATCAAAATCAAATAACTAATTCGTCAGCTACATCGTATCGTTTATCCGATATGGAAATACCGACACCAAATACTGAAAGAATTCAATCGAATATTGATACTATTCCTAATTCAAATAGACAAACTGATATAATTGATAGGTCATCTCATATAAAGGAAAAGTATAGTTTCCAGTCAGGTAAGTTTCATACATTTTGTTTTATTATTCCAATGTTTTTGATGAGTAGTGAGTGACAGGATAATTAAATGATTAAGTTCGTTGAATTGTTGATACTCGGTTGAAATTTATTTTTATGGTCTTTTTAAAGCTTAATCAACTTTACTAAAAGATTGGTTTATACTGACACTATGACCAGTTTGTACTAAATGGGACAATATCAAACTGTTCACTTTCTTCATCAAACCTTTGTCTAGCCAAATTGGAAGGTGTTCACGAACACGAAAATGTAAATTCCTAGAACTTCGACAAATATAACTTGCTCCAGAAGAGCAATCGAACCAAAAAATACAAAATGAAGTGATCATTCTAGGTAGCTCATCTTTTAGCTTTGGTGTCACCGTTGGGGACGTAGAAAACACTAATCATAGCTCTCCAGCGTTGAAACATTTTTGTATTGTCCTGAGTAATCTCAGTTAATATTTCACTATTTGCATCCCCTCTGTGTTGTAGTCGCATGAATAGGGATTTTTTCTTCACTGTTTGTATTTCGCCTATTTCTACCTTCTTCATCATATATTTAATAATAAACTTCCTAGGGCAAACGTTCTTCCTAAGAGTATTATGCATGGTGTTTAGCTCATCTTCAACTATGTAGTGCATATTCGGTAACTAAAGGTTTTGATCAGGTTTCGCTTGTATCGTAGAGGTACTAAGCTAAGGGAATGAGTGTACTGCCCAGTCCATGTATTTTTTCTGTTTAAGTTCCTTTTTAACGTTCCATCTACTCTCTTAGTTAAGAGAACGTTCAAAAAGGCTACTCGACCATCACTCTCTTCTTCAGATGTAAACTAAATGGCTGAATCCACTTCATTAAATCGCCTAAGAACCTCCTGCTGTGACGTATTATCTCTACAGAGGGTGAACGTGTCATCTATATATCTACAGTAAAATGTGCATTTTTGAATAGTCTTTTTGAGTGGACCATTTTCGAGTTTGGTTAGAAAAATGTCATCTAGTATAGGGCCCAATAGTGAACCCATTGCAACGCCATCTGTTTGTCTTTATATTTCTCCGTTGAACTTGAAATTCACATTCATGGTTCATTTGAGTAAAAACTCTTTCACAACAATAATAGGAACCGTAGTTTCAATTTCATTTTCAATCAGTTGTTCACCTATATATTCTGCCATCTTTATGAATGGGACATTTTTGAATCATAATGTTACATCCAATGACATCATCTTTAGTCCCAATTGTTTATAGGGTCAGTAATTTTTTGCCAAAGCTTGTCAGACATAAAGTTCTTCACCAAAAGAGTTTGAAGTAGGATTCCTCAATAATGGCTCAGCTATGAATCAACACATTATTGACCGGAGGATTTTTAAGGATATCACGATACCTATAAGTGACTAAATAGGAATCAAACGGTTCAAATTAATAAGATATAATGCGTGATGGAGCACGATAGTTCCAATGTCTCAATCTGTGTCACTTTTCTGTTTTGAGCTAACTTACAGTAATTCTAAGTTACGAATGAATGAGAGATTATCCAAATATGAGACAGGATCTATAAGAATTAGATAGACTCAATGATTAACGTACAAACTTCAACAATAATCATTTATTATTGTGAAGATAGTGAAAAGTTAGAAACAAATAAAAAGGCTTAATATTTAAAAAATTCCTAATTTGTAATTTAATAATTGAGTGCATAGTAACAAACATGATTTTGGTACACGACAAGAATATCAAATTAATAGCAGGAACAACCAATCAACTGTTGGCAGAGATCAATGAAGAATTATAAATTAAAAAGTTAACGTTGAATGTTAAAACTACCAGTTATAGACAATAGTAATGTTGGTAATAATAATAACTAATTTAAGATCATCATAACAGTCAGACACAAGTGAATTACATCATTATTAGCTAAATGTCCCTATCAGAATGAAGATTTGTGAAGATTGTAGACATTTTAATAATTCAATTCACGAGTCGGATCTAAGCTAGAACATCATTGAAAAGCTAGAAGCACTTGAAAACCATTTCATCTTAGTGAGAGTCTCTTCATATTAGATCGACTTATGAATTCAACAATTAAAATTACTACAATCTCCACAAATCTCCATCCTAATGATGATAATAATCAAATGCTTACTAGTGACTAGCTTCAAGATGACTTATTGCTGTACTAGTGAGAAGCCGTGACCATTGGAGTTCAATCCATGTCGAATAAAGATAGTTATCTATTTGAGACAATGGATGAACGGTTGCATAAAAACATGGATTGATGAAAGTAAAACCGGCTTAATGGTCTAGAAATAAATAATATATTTGTAATATCCCAATGAGTAGAAAATTAGATTTTCTGACGTTTCGTGACTTAGTGTAAGCCACTTCTTCAGAGAATAAATAAACAAATTAAAATTAATCCAAGTTTAAATAGTACAACGGAACGATACAAGAATAATATTTGATCAATCAAAAAACAGATATGAACAAGTTGATGTCATGTCATTTTTGTCAAGGTGATTCATAAGTGACGTGTATGTAAATTTGCATGTGTATGTATTTGTGCATTGTTTAAGAATGAAAAAATTGCATGTGGGATCGTGGATGCTCATTGCTAAGAAATCCTATATTCGGGTAAGACGCCTATTCAGTGCTTCCAGGTTTTCAATGGTGTCTAGCTTAGATTGACTCATGAATTCAACTTCTTTTTTTTTCTCCTTATCTTAATAACTTATTCTTTATCCTTATTATATTTCTTATTATTATAAAACAATTAGAAGTTGAAAGACAAATAGAAATGGTTCTACAAAATAATGAATTAAATTCTGACTGTTTTGTTCATATACGATATCATCAAGATAATAAAGTTCCATTAAAGAAATCTATTAATAATAATAATAATAATGATAATTCTATAACTAATTGGAGATCACGATCATTATCATTAGCTTCATGGTCAACAACAAGAACAAATTTAAATACACTTCATTCCAGTTCTTCCAATTCAATAAGAAATGAATTTCTTTCAAGTGCTTTTGATGAATCATTAGCCAGAGCAAAATTACTTGTGGATTGGGCAAGATTAAAAGTAAATTATACTTTGCAGGGGTTTTTTTTATTTGTGATATAAAAATCAATATGATGTATGTATATGGATATAATGATGACCTAGATAGGGGGGTTACTGATATGCCTGAATGCCATTATGCGTTCACCTTACTCAATAAACGAAACGAAGGTTAAAGATACAGTCACACGATAGACTATTCTAATCCGTTGTTCCTGGCCCTGCTAACTAGATCAAGAAGTCTTGATGAGGCGTAGAGAATGTATTCTATAAGCACCCAGAAAATACGAGGTCATCAAGCACACAAATCAAGCTTATTTATACAATGATAGAAACGCCCTTGGAAGAGCCACAAAATAGCGTACTAAAACCAATGACAGTCAAGGAATTCTGGGTGGGAAATGTTAGCTGTAAGTCAACTAAGCGTCTTTTCGCGCGAAAACATAAAATTCAAATTTTCAGAATAGAATTACAAAATTAGGATCTTTCAAAGTGAGTTCTGGGGATCTAACGTCCTCAATAGATACTTATTTATTTACTTACTTACTTAAGCCTATTACTCCTCTCGGAGGAGTTTAGGTCGCCCACCAAGATTCTCCATCGAACTCTGTTCTAGACAATCCTTTTTAGTTGAGCATAATAAATAACTTCAGCAATACTAACTACTGGATGTCATCAATTTTTCATAGTGTGGCACTTTTCAGGAGTATTCAGTCACAAATTTATAGAAAATCGAACCCAGAGTCATCATGTAACACAGTAAGCGCTCGAGCTACAAATCATCAACTTAGAATTCATCGGTTTACATTCCTCATTTTATTCAATAAGTAAAGGTCGGGCAAGATTTATAATTGATTGAAATTAAAAATGTAAACCATTTGATACTACCTTTATGGTTTGGAGTATAATCGCTCACTTTAATGTCTGAAGATCATCTCTCTATTCCTTGTAGGGGTGTGATTAAACACTGTTAGTGAGTTCTAAGACAAAACGGCTGTCCAGTGCTTTTTGGTTTTCAGAAGTTGTTTAACTGAGTTGATTCTATGATGAAAACTAAACAATTTTTACATTTTCCACAAACTTCTTTTAGTAAATTGACAGATAGGCTAAGTATTGGAATCCAGGACGCGCGTTTCGTCCTATTTGGGACTGGTCAGCTAGATGAACCTGTATCTCAGAGTTGGTGTTCACTGTGGGACTCGAACTCAATACCGTTCGCTTCAAACACCATCACGTTATCCTAGTAGTTTCTAAGTAGTGTCAATTTTTATTTACTGGTTTCGTTTCGATACGTCGATCAAATATGTAAAACTTAATCTTTAATATAGACAATGTGTTTTGGATTTTTAAATGCCGATATGCTCAGGTTACATATTTAGTCGAACGACTTTATCTACGTCAGCCATTTGCTTTGATCATCTTATTGGAAATCTCTTTTAGGATTTGTAAATGTTAACTACAGCTAAATACCTCAATTTATTGAAACTGGATTCTCTAATCTGGATGAATTAATTGTAAAGCTTTGAATTGTCTTTTCAAAACAAAATCATTAATAAATACCTCATATAAAAAGTAGGCTATAAAAAGTTTCTCCACATATAACTAGTGTAGTGAACAAGAATGCAAGTGAGAACAATCAGATGCGTTGGAATACGACATTACAAAACGTCTTCGTAAAATCTGAAAATTATACAATAAATACCTGATTTGTAAAGTATCCATCAATTGTCTCAGACTTCATTGTTCCTTCATTTTCACACCAATCATTCTCTGTTCTTGTTCTCTCTTCTTTGATCTTCTTAATCTTCTGCCGCCAGACATTTCACTTGTGATTGATGATACGTACTGCTTATATCTGTCTACATCAGCAGCACACACCATACTCGTAGATCATTCTATCAACTTTGAGATCGATAAGTTGTTATGAACTTTTATCTTCATAATTCACTTCTATCCGCATGATAATGTTGTCTAGTAAGACAATAAAAGCTTTACATTTGGTAAATAAAGAACTAAGAAATTTCTTTTCAATTAGTTTTTCATCATGGATCTACATTAATCAATAGATGTATGATTTACAATAATGAAATAATACTCATCGAGTGGATACGTTACGTAATAATTACATGGTGATATTTCGATTATAAATTAACATTGAGGTTAGACATTGGATGCCGACTCAGTGGTCCAGTATGCTATGCGTTTGCGCGCGAGACCGAATGCCCTGGGTTCAAATCCCGTAAGCGGGACCGTGGATGCGCGCTGCTGAGAAGTACCACAATAGGACGAAACGGTCGTCCAGTGCTTCCAAGTTTTCAATGGTGGTCTAACATCAATCCGTTCATGATCTCAATCAAAATCTTAACATTGAGTAATTGGAAGAAAGAAGATTAATAACAATCAAAGTAATTATTCGAAAATCAAGAAGTTGCTACGTTGCATAATATATGAAAAAGAGAAGGAACAGAATAATTTGATGAATGGTCAATAGAATAGTAGTTATGTAAGAATCAAGAGATGAATGTTGAGAAAAATACAAAGCCCGAAAAAAAAACCAAATGGAAGTAGTACGAAAATAGTTCTGTTGCAAGCACTCTTTATACCGATGGCCAAGGTATCAAAAATAGTTATATAAATTTCTTTTGGATGCAAAGGTTAGGTTTTTGAGCATGGATTGCTATGGCTTCCACAAAGTGCATATGACGTACTTGTAAACCATGTGAAAAATTTGCTGGAATATGGTAAATAACCTTAAAAGCTTTATTCAGTTCAACTTCATGACCTGTATTAACCAAGTGAGAGAGAATAAAACACTTAATCACTCTCATCTGTCCTTTCCTCAACCACAACGGATGGTGTTCTGTTTTACGATGACGAACTTTACAATTTAATCGTCTAGTACATACAATACAATTTCAACAAATTCCTCTACTTATTAACATTTATTCTATTTTAGTATCAGAAGGGGTTTTGTGGAGATTGCAGTAATTTCATTGGTTGAAATCATCAGTCAATTGAAGCTAGACAACCATGGGAAAACCTGGAAGCACTGAACGGTCGTTTCGTCCTATTTCTGGACTGCTCAGCAGTACGTATCCACGACCCCGCCTCGTGAAATTCGAACCGAGGACCTATCAGTCTCCCGCCAGGCACTTACCCAACTAGACCGCTGAGCCGGCATTTAGTGGTGTTAATGTCTAACTTCAACTAATCCACGAAATTGAGCGACACATCCTCCATTGTCATCAGTGAGTTACTATCTCACAACAAATCTGGTTGAACTCCACTGGTCACTGCTTCTCATTAGAACTTCAGGATATTTATCTTGAAGCTAGTCACTAGTGAGCATGTGTGCGAGGTTGATAGGTCCTGGGTTCGAATCCCGCGAGGCGGGGTCGTGGATGCGTACTTCTGAGGAGTCCCACAATAGGATGAAAAGGCCGTCCAATGTTTCCAGGTTTTTCCATAGTGGTCTAACTTCAATTGACTCATGATCTCAACTATTGAAATTATTCTATTTTAGTTAATATTTTATTTTATATTAACTTTATTAGGTACCAGCTGATAATCAATCTCATTATGAATTAGAAAAATCTGCATTGATTACATTGAATGATCAAATCAATTGTTCACAATCATATTTAGATCCAATACATTATCAAGAGCATACAATCTATCTAAATGATATGTGTCGTAATATACGTAATAAATTTAGTCAAAGTTTAATTGAAGAAATGAATAGACGTGATTTAATTGAAATGGAAAATAGAAAAATCAATAAATTGAATTATTTATATCATTGGTGTTTAGAATATGAAATATCAGCTCATTTAGAAACTATGGAGAAATTGTAAGTGAATTTAGTAAAAATTCTTTAAAATACAGAAATGGAATATATATATATATATATATATATATATATACGTTTCGTCCCAATTGGGGCTCGTCAGCTGGATGTGCTTGTATCCTAGAGTTAATGTCTACCCCAAGACTCATATTCAGTACCATTCGTTTCAAACGCCGTCACATTATTCCCTTAGCGACTGTCATTTTGTTCTCTTCCACAGTAGGCTTTTGCTGATGGTATCCTGTCAACTGATAATATGTATCATGTGTAGACAGTTGTTTATAAATACTTGTATCTTCTTGATGATGGTTGTATTAGTTCTCCAAGTTTCAGCTTCGTATCGTAGAAGCGTATTGAAGATTCTGTAGTAGTACACAGTAAAGCAAGAAAAATATAAGTTCTAGATATGACAGGTTCAGTTTTCTTTTTTGTTTGAAGTAAACTTGTAAAGAAATCGTTTTGATTCATCATTAACTGAATGAAATATATGACATAATAAAGTGACATTTTGAAAATTAGTGATGAATCTTAGATATAAACTTTTTTTAAATATGGATTTAGCGAAATTAATAATTTGGTGAAACCTTTCAGCAACGCCTTAGTGTTATTTATTTCTTTATTTGAATACATAAATATTGGTACAAAGGAGCATCAGATACATATGCACCACACAAATCACTTGATTTGTGTATGGGCTGTGATTACTGTCCATGTGCTCAGACAGAAGCAGGTGATTTTCTTGGTAGGTCACACCTAAAGGTGGAATAACGTAAGAGGATGCAGTCCCATGGTAGCCGGTGACCAACGATTGGCTTATACACCATTTGTTCCTTCAGGATCCTGAAGCCCATTGGTTTGGAATGAGGGTTTTCCAACTCGCCTAGGTGAACTATCCATGTCCAACAACCCGGTTAAAGCTCCGGATATTCTCTTTTTTTCCTCTCAATTTCGTAAACAACACCCTCGCCACAAGAAGGCAGTGGGTAGGACATCTCTGACAGTTGCTCTATACACGTGGCCATGTGAGAGCATTTTGAGAGGAAGAGCTGACTGTCTCCACTCCTGCTCGTAACAAAGATTCGAACCCAACTCCTTCGGTCTCACGCGCAAACGCTTAACCACTAGACCACTGAGCCAAATGACAAGATGGTGTAAGAGGTCCTTCTAGCCCACTGGTTAGGCAAGCCACCCACCGAAGCAGGAGTAATTTACCGTAACGAAATAGCCACCTCCATTGCTTTTGTGACCTTGGGAATGTCCACCTACTAACCTAGCACTAAATGAAGGTTATAAAGCAGTGTGAAGAATAAGAATTATGGGCGATACTATAATTTATGAACGAACCAATCAGATTTATGATAACAGGTCTTAGATATTGGTGCAAAATTCATTCACTCATTTGACTAAATAGAGTTTTGACATTATAACTTATGTCAGTTCGTAATGAAAATCCTAGATCTAATTCCTAACCTTAACCATCCACTATAAATCATAATCTTTATTCTTCAAACTGCTTTATAACCCTTATTTAGCTTTAGTAAGTAGGTGGACATTTTCAAGATTAGTTTAGCGTTGCTCAAAGGTCGTGCATAAATTATAGTCTCACCGAATTATGATTTACAATTGATAATAAGAGTTAACATTTACATATAGGATTTTCATCATAAACTGACACTAGCTTAAATGTCAAAAACGCTATTTAGACAAATGGATGAATAGGAATTCGTGTCAAAATCCATAATCTATTATCTTACATCTGATTGATTCATTCATAAATATTCTAATCTTGTCAATGATTCTCCTGTAAAGTTAACTTTTTTAACTATTCAAAGTGAATATCTCATTATTGATCTGTTTTGTTTATTCAAAGATCTTCAATGTGTATTGCAAGAGAGGAAACATTAATGGATTTATATAATTTAATTATAAAACATACAACCAATTGTCAAATGAATAATGAAGGGAATACAAATTATTTTAGTTTTATTGAAATAACAGGAGAATCTGGTAGTGGAAAATCAATTCTATTAGCAAGTTTAACTAAAATGTTATTAACAAAATCAATAAATGTAAATACTTCTATTGTTAAGTGAGTTATTGATTATCAGAATAATTTGTAATTATTGATAATATTTGAATTGATTAAAAGTTCAATGAATTTGTGAATAAAACAAAAAACTTTTAGTGGGATCTTTTATTTTGTCATCATTTAGATCGGATAATATTGTAGAAGGGCACATTACTTTAATGACCTGAGATTTGACTCCAATTTGATTATAAGAATGATTGTTATTGAAATATATATGTCGCCTATCCTCATATATAATCATATATTTCATACAATCTTTGATCCAAACAAAATGTTGGAAGAGCAAACGGAATAGAGCGAAACAAAACGACGCGCAGCGGAGATAGTGGATAAGCCAACTCCTCTTTAGTCAAGCGTTAATCAATATTCATAGTCACACAAAAATAAGTTACAAATATGTGATGAATGGATAAGAAATGTACACACACCTACGCTCATATAGAAACAGTCAAGATTGGTAAGCGAATAATTAACAAGGTCAAAATATGGCTCAAGTAGAATGAATAGATAGTCTGTCCGAAAGCCAGAATAAGGTATATGGGCTTAACATAACAGCTGACACTACAGCCTCTGTGACACAAAGATCAATAACCTAGCTATTCCGATATGTACCAATCCTGCGCGTTAGAGAGAGAGAGATTCGAGCTCGGAAGAGGGAAATATATTTCACAAGCAGCCAGGAACAGAAATAACAACAACAATCACAAATCAAGAGTATATATACAGTATAAAAATATTCTTGAGAAGCGTTACAAAGTAGCATATTAAAAGATATAACGAACAAATAACACTTAAGATCCTCCCAAAGTGGGAAATACGATATGAAGGTGAGAATGAGCGCTTTTGGCGCGAAAACAAGAAATTTAATTTTTTAAAATAAAGTTATAAAAATAAGGTATTTACCAAGTGAGTTCTGGAGATCTAAAAACCCCAACAACTATATACGTATATAAGTAAAATATTTGAACATAGCATATATAAAAGGCGGAAAAATAATTTAATTCGTAGTGTTTTGGATGATCCCGTTGTTTATGTTATGACTAAAATTAGATCAGTCCTGTGCAGACTGCCTTGATATAACCAACATGATAAAGGTTTACATAAAATGGATAGAATTTAGTTATCATTTGAACATAGAACGCGCATTTCATTTCTGTTTCGGGATTATCAACGGGATGTGCTTGCTTCTCACAGTAGATTCCCATTTCCGGATTCGAACCTGGGCTGATCAACTCTCAGTCGAAATATTAACAACGGGGTAGACAAATTAAGTGAAAATTAATACCCGTTGCACAAATAAATAACCAGCTGGCCTATGTAGCTAAGTGAATTACTCGATGGCGTTCTAGTCTCGGAATAAAAATCTTGTATCTACTCTTAAAGACCATGTTTCGCAGCCATATAGTAGAACGGAACGAACTGCCGCGCAGTATACTCGTCCCTTAATTGATAGACGGATATGTCGCCTTCGCCATAAGTGACGTAAGTTGGCGAAATCCAAACGAGCTTGTCGATTCCGTGCTGAGATTTCGTCAGACACCAACCCATTAGGGCTGATCAGACTTCCAAGATAAGTGAAGTTGTCAACGCGTTCGACTACTTCACTCTCTATTCTTAGTTCAGGTGTTGACGCAGACCAGTCCTGAAGCAACAACTTGCATTTAGAGAGAGAGAAGCGCATCTCAAACATTCTGGCATTGTTGCTCAGTGCTACCAAAAGACTCTGCATTTTATCTGAGTCTTCACCAAACAGGATTATGTAATCTGCGTATTCTAAGTCGATAAGTGGACCTCCTGGTAGGAGATCAATGCCCGAGAATTCAGTCGATGAGAGCGTTATTTCCATCAGTAGATCTATGATGAAGTTAAACAAAAATGCAGAAAGTGGACAGCCTTGACGGACGCCACTTGAGGTTGCAATAGTGGATGACAGTTCGTCATAAGCTCTGACTCGACTAGTTGTGTTCGAGTAAAGAGCCTTCACAAGGTTTATGTACTTCTGAGGTACGTCTTTCAATGACAAACACTACCACTGAACCTCTCGGTCTACCAAGTCAAATGCTGCTTTTAAGTCAAGGAAGACCATTATTGTCGTACGCCGATAAGTATGTCTGTGTTCTAGAACCTGACGAATGGTGAATATGTGGTCGATGCAGCCGCGATCAGGTCTGAAGCCAGCCTGATTCTCTCGTATTGCCTGGTCCTAAGTTGTAGCTGATTGACGGACTGATTCCGGAAATGATTCTAAATATATACAAACATCGATACACAACACAGTATTAAAGTATCAAATATCAAGCAGTATTCTTCACTTTAACCAAGTTTCAACAAAACATTGAAACTATTGAAAGGATTGACATTTCATTTAGTTACATGTTCAATTATGTATTGTTATTGTTGTTGTTTTCTTTTCTTTTTTTTGGTATTTTAGTCCACGTGTCATTTATAGAATGATTGGATCTTCTACAATGTCATTAAATTTACTTAATTTATTAAGTTATCTATGCTTAGAACTTTCAACACGAATGGATAGTTCAAGTATATCTGATGTATGTTTTATCAAATAGGAAATGATTTTAAATGCATAGGTTGATATTATCTCTTTGTATGTATAGAATATATTAATATCATTGTCATAATTGAACAACCTTAACATTCCAACATTTGGATAGTGCCACTACGGGATTCGAATCGACAACTGCATCTCTGTGCTAATGTGGTATGGCAACTCGAACTGATGTACCTACGTACGAAGTTCTACGTTGTTGCTGACTGACTGACTGACTTTAAATAATCTAATTTTTAATAGCAGTTCTAAGATGGTAAGGAAGATTTGTAGTATAGGTGGCAGATTTAGGTAGAGTTTTATTATCAATATTGAGTTTTAGAGATTATTGAGTTTCTGATTGAGATAATGAACCGAACGATGTTAAACCACCATTGAAAACTTGGAAGTATTGGATGTCCGTTTCGTCCTATTGTGAGACTCTTTAGCAGTGCGTATCCACGATCCCGCTCACGGGATTTGAACCCAGGGCCTTTGGTCTTGCGCGTGATTAGTTAACCTTTAGACCATTGAGATGGCATCCACCAGTATTAATGTATAACTTCAACCAATCCACTAAGTTGTGCGACTATCTTCCACTGTGCTGAGGTAGATATCTGTCTCTACCTGACATGGATTAGCTCCACTGGTTACAGCTTCTCTGGTCTGAATAGTTTGGCTGACAAAATCATTAACTCAGTCAAAAAAGCAATTTCGTCATGAAGAAATGTAAAAAAAAATCTGATTTATCATTACTGATATGTTTCATTTATATATGTGTGTATATATATCAAACGCTACTTTCAGACTTATGATGGACTACGTACAGCTTTACATACAGCTATTATTGAAGCTACATATGAACAATCATGCCAGCAACCATTAATAATTATTCTGGATGGAATTGAAAACTTGGAAGGTATATAGAGTTAGCATTACAGTTTATGTAATATGTAATATTGTTTGTTGTATTCATGAATTTAGTATGATAAATAGACTTGATTATTGAGTTTTGGTTTATTTTTTACATCGCTATTAAAAATTCTAGATCCTCTAACATTCTTACGTCTAATTTGTAACTGTAACAGTTGAATTCATGAGTCTATCTAAGTTTGACCATTATTGAAAACCTGGAACGCCGTTTCATTCTAGTTATGATACTCCTCAGTAGTGCGCTTCCATGATCCCATAAGCAGTACTTGAGCCCAGGACCTTCGATCTTGCGCTTGAACTCTTAACCTCTAGACCACTGAGTAGGCATCCAATGGTGTTAATGTCTAAATTTTATCGATCCATAATCTTGTTCAACCCATACTAGGATGAAATAACCTTTCAGTTCTTCCACGCTTTCAAGGGTGATGTAAGTTAGATCGGCTAGTGGAATTCAACTGTTACAATACTATCATCTCCATAAACTCCAGTTTTATTAAAAATTTATAATTTACAAAAACTATATTGAATAAGATATTGAAAATATACAATTTTCCAAAGAGTGCTATGCCTAAACTATGAATTATACCTCTTTGCAAATTTCATTGTTATTCTGCATGCTTACTTCTTGTAGAAGTGAGCTTTTAGATAAACTGATTAATCATTGTTTTGATGACAACATTTTCTTCTAAATTTTATGTTCCTCAAAGAAAAATAGCTTTTTAATTTAATCCAACAATACTGTCTTTCTGTCTGATATAATGAGAAGAAATAAACCAAAGTATCCTATTTGAATTGTATGCGACTCAGTAATCACGCACATTATAACAAACATTCTATATGGGGACTAACTGTAAAATACCATATATATGCGTGTATGTGTGAAGAAATCCCTCCATATATGTTTTCCATGTCATAGTATCTCAGTATTTCTCCCTACGCATAACAGTATCCACTTAACTTTCTATATTAATACATTGTATGTATATCGTTTGATTTAGTTGAAATTATTACTAGTTTATCTTAGAGATTTTGTTTCTGATCTCTTCTTTGATTAGATCTACTTTTTTGATTGACCTTGCTAGTCTTGTTCTACTTGATCCTATATTCTAGCAGTTGTCATATTAGTTGACCGAATTTCTAATTATTCCTATTTGATTTCATTGATTTAATCTATCAAGAAGGGATAGTAACTTCATTTCCTAATTGTTAGGAATGTTAACTATGGCTGATAACTAGATAGTTTCTGACATTAATACTATTTTGTAGTTTGATTGTTCACCTTTGGAGCAAATTAAGTTGATCTATTTGGACAGAACATTGTTTTTTGCTTTGTACATTATACTCGTTATTGTCTGTAACTGTTGGAGGAAGCATTGTTCACATAAATATTGTTTATTCTGTACTTATATTTGCCTTGACAATCCGGGTTTTGTACTCTTTTAGTCGTTTCAGTCTGCTATTTTACGCTGTTATAGATTGTCAAATAGATAATCACTGAAAACCACAGAGACTGGACAGCCGTTTCTCCGTGGTACGGGTTTATTTAACAAACTAAATATACGATCCCTAAGCGGGTTGAACTCAAGATGATTAGAGCTTTTAGTGGGCACTGATATTGTAGACCACAATGTATTTTCAATCCTAATCGATTCGTGAGATTGTACGACCATTTTCCAATGCTATGAGTGGGTAGTTTCCTCATATATGATATAGTTAAAGTACACTGGTTATGATATTACAGAAAACCTCTAGGAATCATTTCTTGAAGTTAGACATGAATTGACTGAAATAAGCCATAAGATATTGACATATTGGTTCAAAATCTAAACATTCACCACACAACCTGATGATTCTGGTTTCAATTACTAGTCGAGTTGTATATGTGCACACTTGAAGAGCCTCAGACTAGGACGAAATAGTTATTTACTATTTGCTAGTTTCTAAAAGTTGTTTACCTGAGATCAGTTCGTGACAAAAAGAACACAGCAACTTGGAAATGAATGTCAAATTGAAATATTCATTTACTTAACATAGTGAAACATTGATCATAGAGTATCTCGAATGCATCATTTTCCTGTTGTCACTAACACTCATTATTGAACATAATGACTAAATTCAAGATATGTTAGCTCAAAATGTAGTAAAGTTATTAGAATAATGTACCTTATAAAGAGAAATATATACACAAAACCCTACAAATTTCTTCCATGTTAATCGTTATGTAATCGACAAAACATTGATACTACTAGTGAGTTGCTTGTTTTATTTTCCATTTATTTCTTCTATTTTTCTTTTATTTACCAGAATGTAAACAACGTAAAGAGAATTTTCCAATATCATGGATTCCATTCAATTGGATAAAATATAAACCAACATTAAATTGTCCAGTAATATTTATTATATCAATTATAAATAATCCAATAGAAATAGCATATTTTCATAAAAATTTCCAAAATAAAATTAATCCATTTATTTTTAATGATAAAAATCATACTACTCATAATCATCTAAGTAATCAAAATAATTATCATCAAATTTATTTAAATGAGTTAGATTTTAATAATATGGATAAATGTATTCAAGTATGGTTATCAGAAATTGAATTCATGAATCATTATGAAATATTTATATCAATTATTGAAATGACAAATAAATTATATCAACCATTACAATTAAAAATGATTATTCAATTATATAAATATAAAAAAGAAAAATTAAAAATGATTTTAAATGATTTAAAACAGTTTACTACTTATGAATTATTCAGTAGTTTATTAAAATATACAAAACAATTTTATGGTTTAAAACGTGTACAATTTATAATTGGTAATATTATTTTATCAAGATTAGGTTTAACGAATGAAGATTTATTAAATTTATATTGGATTAAATTACCATTTAATAATAATTATCATCATTATTTAAATAAACAAAAACGTTATTCATTACAAGATATGAATTATGAATTATGCTTAAATGATAAAATAGATCGAGTTTATATTACATATAATTGGTTATATCGATTTTTTCATGAATTTTTACACCCATTAGGTATAATCCATGTTACTAGGTCACCACCATATGGTTGTTATCGATTATATAATATAAATCAACAATTATTTCAATATTGGCTGGAACATTATGATTTAGATAGTAAAATTCAATTAGAATATCGTACACTTCAATGGAATATATTTTATAATCAACAAAAATACTCTTCGTCTTCTTCTTCTTCTTCTTCGTCTTCATCATCTTCTTCTTCATTAATTGAAACAAATTCTAATGAAATATTGAATATCAACTTAAATATTCATTGGAGATGGTTATTTGAAGTACCATATCATTTAAGTAAATTAAATAAAATACAAAAATTAAAAAATTTTTGTATTTTTAATCCAATTTGGTTAAATTTAAAAATACAATTACATTTATTTACAGATAATAATTCATTATTAATACAAAATTGTTTAGATGAATTGATATTTTATTTATCATTTCTTGAATATTCAATAGATCCTTTCAATAAAAAAATCAATAATACTTTATTGACTAATGATCTATTTATTCAAAAAGTATTGAAATATTTCAATAATCATCCAGATATTCATCTTATTTTAAGTATATTTATACAATGGAAATATGAATTAAAACATAATCCATATTTATTAAATAATATACTTATTCATCATTTAAAAAAATTTAATTATAATGAATATACTACTTTATTTAAAGATGATGAAATAGATAAAAGTAGTATAATGGAAAAATCAATCAAATTTCTTCTTCATAATATACAACAATATAATATCAAAAATAATATTAAAATACCTAATTTAATTAATTTTAATATACCAATCTATTTATGTACAAATGAACAATTGATTAATCAATTAACATGTAATACTACAAGTATTACGTCATCCACCTCCTCCTGCTCTTCCTCCTCCGCATCATCATCATCTCATCCTCGTCATCGTTGTCACCAGGAATTGGATTAACTTGTTCACGTAAAACTATTCAATTGAATACAATAGCATATTCTAATACTAAACAATATTTAGCATTAATTACATATGATATAATTTATTCTATAACAATCTTAGAAATATGGAATATAGAAGAGAATTATAAATTAATTCATTCTATTATTGGTTATAATACAATACAAACTATTAATGAATTAATATGGATTGGTATAAATGATAATGCTATATTAGGTATTGAAATACCAAGTCAAAAAATCTATATATGGCCATTACATTTACATGATGATCAAATGAAATCATTCATAACTAATGATCTGGATCAGTATTATATATTACCAGATGAAGAATCTAATTCATTTGATACAATAAAAGAGAATTCAACTATACATATTATTAATACTGATAAAGATTATTTAAGTTATATTATTAAATTACAACAAGGTATATATAAATTATCCATATGGTTATGGAAAAATCATTCATTAGAACATTTAATTGGACCAATTAGTTTAATTAATCATAAATCACATAGTATGTATCCTGATTTAAATTCTAATAAATTAGAACAAAAAATGTTACGTTCAATGAGTTTACCAAATTCAATTAAATCAAATACTGAATTATTAATAACTGGTTATATATATCCTCATCCTCCTCCTCATCATCATCATCATCATAAACAATTACATATTATATGTGGAGCTAGAGGAGACTATCAAGCAACATTATTTCAAATTTATCTTAATCAACAAGATAATGAACATTTAGATTTAAATCAATCTATTCAACAGAAATATTTAAAATGTTCAAATCATTATGGTACACGTATATTAGGTATTTATAGTATATATTGTAAACCAATTATTATAGCAAATAGATCACCATCTAATATATTACCAAATGAAGATGTTATTGGTTGTATTGATTTATTTGAACAAGAAACAGGGAATTGGATAAAACGTATTGAATCAACATCATTGAATACATTTATCTCTATGGAAACATATATAATAAGAAATTTTAATTTATTAACTTATTCATCATTACCTAAATTATATATGTATTATGATTTTATAAATGATCAATTCATTACAATGATACAAAATTATTCAAAACGTGAAAAATATAAAAATTTCTTTCAATCATATAATACTACTTATAATGAGAATATGAATAGTATAGAAGTGATTATATGGGATATTAATAAATCTATAACACATATTATAAATACTAAACAATTATTACCTTATTTAATACATAATCATTATACATTTATTGCTCCATATAGTATATCTATAAGAAATTCTAATGAGATTAGTTTAGTGAAACCAATCATTGAAGAAATTGGTTATTATTTATATAATTGTAATCCATTTAATGAATTGACATTAAATTTAAATAAATCAATATCAATGATATCTAAAACAAATTATGATCCATTAAAAATAATTAGTTCAATTTATATGATCCAAGATCATAATGATCATAATGATTATATTAGTTTTATTAGTTATAATTCATTAAAAAATGATATATTTATAGGAGTAATGTACTTAGCAACAAATGATTCTATAGATGATTGGTTAATAGAATATTTGTTTGTGAAACCATTTAATAAAGATGTATGGAATAATAAAGATCAATTTATATTTAATGGGCATCTATTGATTACATTGGAAAAATTAGAATATTCTGTCATTGTTGAAGAATGCAAGTAAGTGAATAGAAGTTCAGATGGTTATTACGATTGAATAGTAGTTAAGTCATAATTAATTGATCACTGAGTGATAATCAATATCAGTGTGTTAAGTCCTTCTTAGTGCAGATCGAATGTTATTGATCAAGTTACAATGTGGTCACTTGTCTAGGTGACTTGACACTGCGTGCATCATGTTGAGATAAGATGATGGTTGGAGATAGTCAATAGGAAACCTTGCACTCGGGTTTCGTGCTACTTGGAACTCGTCAGAATGGTGTAACTGTAATCTTGAGGGAAGTGATACTCCCTGACGGATTTGATCCCGTAAATAGCTAAGTAGATAACGCGATAGCTTTTAAAGTGGACGGTACTGGGTTTGAGTCCCGAAGTGAACATCAACTTTGGTACATCCAAATGAAGAGTCCTAAACAGGATGAAACGCAGATCCTGGATTCCACTACTAGCCACTGTGTATCTTTGTTTATAATGATTTGAGGATTTTTTTTTAAAAACTAGGATTTAGACGGTTGCAACTTAGTTTGTAGTGTCGGTAACTATGTTAAGCCCATATATAACATATTCTAACTTCTGGATAGGTCGATTTATTCATTCTACTTGAGTCACACTTTGACCTTGCTAATTATCCACTTATTAACCTTGTCTGTTTCTACATGAGCGTATGTACGTGTACACTTCTTATCCTATTCATTACATGTCTGTAACTTATTTTTCGGTGACTATAAAGATTGATTAATACTTGATTAAAAAGGAGTTGATTCACACGCTTTCTCTATCGAGTGTTATTTCGTTTCGCTTTCTTATCTTCGCATCCTTCGCTTTGTTCCTCTGATTGTGTTTCCAGACCAATGAGTGTACAAAATATACGTATTCAAACATCTGTTATTCACTGACGCGAGTTAAATCGATAATTATATACGAGGATAGCCAGAATGTATATCTCGATAACAATCATTCATACGATATAACTGGAGTCAGATCTCGGGCCACTAAAGTATCATATAATGTTAAACTCAAGTTCAACACGCGGTGATTTAAACGTATCATCATCATTTCGAGACCTGATACTTGATATTAGGTTATATGTCAGAATTATTACACTCAGATAACATTCAATTTAGATACTTCGAGTTGTGTATACGCTTACTCGACTAGCTACGTAAATAAGAATATTGAGAGGTGATTTGTAAGCACTGATTGACAAACCGAATTAATAAATATATAAATTATTAATGTATATGTCTTTATCATTCTGACTGAGACAATGATAAGTTGGTTAAGATCTTGATTAAGATCACAATCCGGTTCCTATAATAAAGTGTGTCGTTTATAATTTCTCATCCACAGTTATTTAAGGGATATGATATCCATCTATTAAGGTTGTATGTTGTCATTAGATGGATGAATCAACCTTGTATAAAACTGGTTCATTGTGTTCCCTGATTATTAAGCTAATTTTTTAGTTTCGCGTCTAGATTTCTTTCCATTTAAGAAATGACAAGAAATGGTTCATTTATTAGTAGTATATTAATCCATTTCTAAATTCAAAAATGGAATGAATGTGTTACAAGCAAAATAATCTACCTCTAGTTTAAACAAAAAAACAATGACATTTGACCAATTGAAGATTTTATATATTTGACAAATGTTACTCAAGACGTTTGAAAGTTCTAAGCTTAGATCAATACTTCTGTATCATATACCATATTTCAATATAAGGACGGTTGAGTCCCAGTGTCATGTGTCAGTTATCACTTACTTACTGATAAGCTAATATATACAACCTTGGAAGAACTAATGCCACCAACTTTCTAACGTTACTTTTTTAAACCTGAGCCATAATTGTATTTTAAAATTATGCTTTTTCATGTTTTATATCGAACATCTTAATTTTATAAGCTAAGATGGATGGTAGTTAGCAATGGAATCCAGGACAAGCGTTTCGTCCTATTTGAAACTCGTTAGCTAGATGTACTTACTTCCAAGAGATGATATTCATTCCGGGACTCAATTACAGTCCTAAACATGAATGAGAAGATTCAAACAATCTATACATAATAAATTTTCATTTTAGTTGACCGAATTCATAAGTATAATACAATATTTTAATGGTCAATTGAAGCTAGACCATCATAAAGAACCTGGAAGCACTGGATGGCTATTTCATCTTAGTATGAGACTTTTCAACAGTGCTTATCCACGATCTCGCCTCGTGAGATTTTAACCCAGGATCTATCAGTCATGTACGTCAATGCTTAATCTATAGACCACTGAGTTGGCCGACAACCAATGAAATTGAATAACACATTCACCATTATCTTCAGTGAATTACTATCTCATAACAGACCCATTTGAATTCCACTAGTCACTACTTCTCACTAAAACTCTAGGCAACACCTCTTGAACTCAATCACTATTAAGCATATATTGATTAGTATCTGAGGGGGGGGTGGTTTGTGAATATAATAGTAGAATAGTATACTCAATCTCTCTACCTAAAATTCACTTTTTTTTTTCCTCATCCATCTATCTATATTAAAATATACTACTTAATTATTTTGTTTTTATTCTTTTAGAGAAGTTTATCAAAGAATGGGAATATATGAAATAGAATATAATTCTAATCATAAATTTTATCTTAATCATATAAGACATTTAACTGATGTATTTATTATACCAAATAATTTATCGGAATATCAAATTATTCATTCAAATGATTCAGATAGTACTTCATATTTAATTGGTTTAAATGAAACTAGATCACATTTTGTAGCATATAGTTTATTAAATGGACAAGTAATATGGAGATTAAAACCGGATTTTTCAATTTATCCAGAATATACTACTAATAATCATAATAATAATAATAATAATAATACAATTGAGAAATTCTTAGTCAGTGGTAATCAAAGTATCATTATAGTTAGTTATGGTCCGCAATGTGTTTGTGTATTTCTTATGAATAAATTACAACATGTTGGTTATTTAAATGAAGATTATGCTATGAAAAATAATCATCATTCAGAAAGTATAGTACAACAACCACAACCACAACCACAACCACCATCACCACCACCACCACCACCACAACAACAACAACAACAACAATCAAAAAGATTAGATGGACCAAATTTATCTTTATCCAGTATATCATATGATGGTTATTGGTTAGTACATTCAGAATATAGTTATGAAGAACAATGTACATGTTTAACTGTTTGGTCATTAATACATTTTCATAAATATAAATTAATTCATCATGAATATAATATACAATGGAATCGTAAACGTTTAATAAATCAATCAAATTTAATACAAATAGAAATAAGTGGATATAATTGTATTATTGTTGCAGCAAGACTTCATTATGGTATTATATGTTGGTGTCCATGTAAACAAATAAAACCAATTTATTTACAAGGTAGTAAACAATTAAATTATTCATTAGATAATCCACCTATATTATATATATCAATGAATGGTAATAAAATTATATCAGCTAGTGGTTATATAAAACATAATCAAATAACAATATGGCAAATGGATTTAACTCATTTAACTGTATGTCTTATTGGTCATATATGTTATTTAGATAATATATTAGAATTACAATTAACTAAACAAGAACATTTATTATGTATATCAGTAATGAATTCAAATAAACCATTATTAATTGATCCATATTGGATTAAGGATAATTAATCATTAAAGATATATGATAATATAAAGTAATCAATAATGTGGGGGGGGGGAACTTCTTCTTCGTCGAAATGGAACATTCTCTTTTTACTCTTAATATTTTGTTGTTTTCTTTTTGTTTTGTTTTTTGTTTTGTTTTTTCAATAAAAATATTGACATTTATCATTTTGGTTTTCAATGATGATTGATCTTTTTGTTTAACATTGATTATCTCATTTCAAATTCTGTTGAATAATAAAGCTAAAAAAAAAAACAAAAAAGAAAAGGAACTTTCTCTTCAGTGAATGTATCCAGAGCTGCTTACAAGTTGTAGAGTGAGTGTTTTATGTTTTAACTACAAGATTGGTATCTAGAAGTTCAAGTACTCATCCAGTAGCTGCGATGGTGGTCGATACTCTATATAATACTTAGACTTCGTATACAGTTCGTCTTGATGACTGTCACTAGATAACGCCCCAATGGTGTATTAATCGGAAGGCGAATACGAAGTATTGATTACGTTTATTATGAGACCATACACAGATATCCAATTTACAGGTATGTTAAGTAAGCTTAAAAGAGTAGCACCGAAAAGCTAGCAGGCAAGCAAGCGAGCAAGTCAGAGAATACAAGCAAGATTAAGCGGGTAAAACAAACATGAATAAAATTTTTGAATATATACATAGTGAAATGAATGAATCAACGAATCAATTAAACAGTTAATAGTAAGACTAGCACAGCCAATATGTACGTAGGCAGTAAGCAATGCTCAGGCATACATATTCATACAAGTGTAACAATAATAAAGGTAAAATGATATAGATAAGTTTTTATTCTACGAATGACTCTGTCCGTAAAATAAGTTAACAAGAAGGGCTTAACCAAATTAAGTGTGAACAAACTCAATTTCAAGTGAGCTACTATAGTTTCATGTCATCTGCATGACAGCTCAATGGTCTATAGGTCAAGCATTATCGTGCGAGGCTGAAAGTTTTAGGTTTGACTTCCGTATAGGGTCGTAGATGCATCGTGTTGCGGAGTTTCATAATAAGGTAGAGAGGCCGTTCATTGCTTCCAGGTGTTCAGTGGTGGTCTACCCCAGTGTTGGATGTCGGCTCAGTCGTCTGGAGATTAAGAGTTCGCACGCGAGACCGAAGGTTCTGGGCTCGACTCCTGTGTGCGGGATCGTGAATGAGCACTACTGAGAAGTCACATACTAGGACGAAATCATTGTTCAATGTTTCCAGCTTTTCAGTGGTGATTTAATATGAATCGGTTCATTATTTCAATCAAAAAATTTTGATAATCTTGATAGTGACTCAATATCTTTCTGTCATATCATAAAATAATGTCGGAATATGATATTCGAATTTTAGTAAATACGGTTGTCGAAAGTAAAGTGTACTTATCCAGGATATGTAAAGTGTCAAAATGTACTAGTCATCTGATAAAATTTCTCAGTAATTCTCCATAGATCTTCCAGTCATCAATAATTATCATGGTTTAAAAATGAATAAAAACAATATATACTACTTTGTTAGTAGTCTAAAACAATAAACACAAATTAAATAAAGCAAATTTAATGTTGATTAAGACACATGGAAGACAGTAAATTTGATATAACTTTAAAAAACATTTATATGTGAAAATGATCATTATACATGGAGCCAGATTATCAAAAAATCGGACTACTTATTTTAAAGCTCTATTGATGTCGTGGATAAATGTTTTTAAGCAGTCATCTAACTAAGATGAAGGATCTGTCCAGCTTTTAGTGACTGCTTAACTGACCTCGATCCATGATATACAAATTCAAACAATCAGTCTATGATCTTTAAAATCTTCTCTACTGAAATTATCCAAATAGACCTCGTTTTTAAGTGAAATCCTTCTGTCCAACTTTTAAAATCTTTCATAGTCATGATATTTTAGAACTAAGAGTTGTTCATGTACCAATATGCGTTACAAATGAACATTTAGGAAAGAGTGGAATGTTATCATTCCTATTACATCTTTTGAGAACTTATAAAAATCTCAATCACAAATGGTTGTATCCAATGAAACTGTTAAGAATGACAATCGTTTTATTGCAACTCAGTGATCTAATTGTTTCATACTGTGAGCAACATAAATTCATTAGGTTCCCACTGGTGGGATGTTGTGAAGTTTCCATTTGTAGGTAATCACATAATAAAACAATTCGCTTGCTCAATAAACTCAGTGATTTTCTAGCTAATATTAATCAGTGATGAAAATATCTTCAAAATTATATAAATTCCAGTTTTACTCCTACTGTGGTATGCACCATTTATGCGGACAGACATAAGTAGTATGTAGCAAGAATCGGAGAGAGAGAGTTATTGGAATATCAACCAATTCGGAAGAATGAAGAACTATGTACAATTAAAAGAAGATATGCAAATAATGTATTCAATATATGATTTCCATATTTTGCAAAGCCACTGTATGGTTTGCATAAAACAATAAATTAGTTTTCCCCACCTAGATTTCGTTCACTACATTACCTCTTCAAATTCATAATGCATCTGATATCGTTTGATGAATTAATTAACGACAAATAAAAGCAATTCATACCTTGATTCTTCAAGACAAATATATTTATACAGTGTTCTTGTAGATATCAACAAGTGAAATTAAAAATTCAATTATCTTCAGTGTAGGGTTTTGGAAATTGTTGAGTTCTATTTAAGATCATGAATCCATCTATGTTAGTGTGAGAATGAACCACAGATGAACTCGGGGAAGCTATAAGAGGATCTGAAGGAGTCGGAGATATTCCATCCAATCATCTTTTGGAAGAATATTCCTGAATTCCTACGCATAGTTTCCCGATTGGACAATGTTAATAACCCCCTGTATGTGGATTGGAGGACTGTAATGATGATTTCGTTCTTACTAAACACTATAAATACCTGACAATTTTGTACTATGATTGACATTGTCTGGAATAACATTTTTTCACTAGTCTTCTGTCTTATTGTGACTTGGAAGGGTTCTGGCGTTCTAGTTCTTAAGTTATACGCGGTATATCAAGAAAACAACAGTGTAGATATAACAGTTAGACCGGCATTAAAAACCTGGAAGCACTTGGTTGTCGTTTTGTCGGGATTGAGAGAATGTCATTAGAAAATAGCTGGGGAACATTACACACTAACTGAAGTTACAACTGTAAAATATTAAATCATAGTCTAATGGTATGGAAAACCAACGTTCACCGTAAAGACTTAATGTCCTACTTTACATCTTTGATAAGATCATTAAGATACGATTCTGAGAAGTCCCATAATATGACAAAACAACTGTTCAATGCTTCAGTGTTTCTGTAATTGCTCACCTACAACCAATTACAAATTCATTACAGTATAAATACTTTAATATTTCACTAAATACAATAATTCATCATGTTTTCTTTACACTATAGAGTTTCTTTTAAGTCCTAATGATATCATTTACCAGAAAGAGGTTTTGTGGATTTTAGTTAGAAGCCGTGACCAGTGGAGTTCAACCAGGTCTGTTGTGAGATAGTAACTGACTGAAGATAATGATGGACGGTGGTGCAATTTCATGAATTGATCGAAGTTAGACATTAACACCGTTGGATGCTGGCCAGCTCAGTGGTCTAGAGGTTAAGTGTTCATGCGTGCCCTGAATTCGAATCCTGCAGGATGTGATCGTGGATATACACTCCTGAGGAATCCCATATTAAGATGAAACGGCCATCCAGTACTTTCAGGTTTTCCATGATGGTCTCGCTTTAATTGACTCGTGATTTCAATTATTAAATAACATTTATCATAAAATGATGGTTGTATGTACTTTAAAATGTTTTCTGTCTTCCTTAATCAAGATTTTAGGCAGAGATAAACATGCATAACGAAACGATTAAATTTTATTCATAGTTGGTTTTCTCATTTCTGTTCTCATTTATGCTTTCTGCTTATAATAATGAAACGTGACTTTTGTCAATAATAATGGTTGTTCTCTATTTGTGTTCAATTACCTTTTTATGTAATCCTGTATTCTGTTGAATGATGAATATGTGGGCTGTTCTACACTTTAGAAAACAAAACAAAATTGTTCTTTTTCTCATTTACATTAATGAAATATAAAAAACAGTTAGTAAAGTAATTTAATAATTGAAGTTGGAACACCATGGAAACCCTAGAAGCACTGGACCGTCCTTTCGTCCTCGTATGAGACTCCTCAGCAGTGCGAATCCACAATCCTCCCTCGAGAGACTCGAATCCATGACTTTTCTGTCTTGTGTGAATGCTTAACCTTTAAACCATTGAGCCGGGAATTTTTTAACTATCCTGTATATATATATGTAATATATATCTGATGGTTTGTATTTTTCACTCTGATCATTTATAAAATGTAACGAAAATTAAAATTGTACATTAGTAGATTACAAATTAGTAATCTACATAGAATTCGCTATGAAATTTAAACGTCATGAGCTGAGTTTTTGATTAAGTTGTGAATGCGTACTGAATCTGTGTGTTGATTCAAACATTAAGCATTGAACAAAGTATCAAATAGTTATCGGAAGGGGTTTTGTGGAGATTGTAGTAATTTCAATGGTTGAGATCATGAGTTAATTGAAGCTAGATCATCATGGAAAACCTGGAAGCACTGAACGGCCGTTTTGTCCTATTGTGGGACTCCTCAGCAGTGCGCATCCACGATTCCGCCCCTCGCTAGTTTCGAACCCAGATAGTTATGAACTTGTTTGTATGTTCACGTTGTTCATATTTACAATTGTAGTTGGTCACTCTTAGTGGAATTCTGTTCAAGATGCACGTATCACAATCATAAATATTGACAACAGCAAAACCCATATAAATTATTAAGAAAAAATTTTGTTTAAAATCACTTGATTAACTTGAATCTTCCCATTAATGTTTAAGACTGCAATTGATCAATCTGATATTGCTATATGGAAATGCTGTGTAGATTGCTTTGACATTGTCTTAAGTCGTGAAGTGAACATCAACTCTAGGATCCAAATACATTCAGTTGACGAGTTTCAAATAGGACGAAACACGAGTCAAACTGAATTCCATTACTAGCCAATATCCATCTTTGTTTATAATGCTTGTGAATGAAGGCAATATCAAGGCAATATGCACAATATGCACATATATCAATAACAGATTGATCAATTTCAGTCTTAAACCTCAATGGGAAGATACAATCAAAACAATACCAAGTGAATTTAACCTGTATGTTATTTACATCA